AATTTCACCACCCACCCATATCGCGAAATAACTGAGCGGATAACACGTGCTGCTTACAAAGTCGTCGAGGCAATTGGTAGTTTTGTAGTAAAATAGTCGCGATGTGGTCCTCATTCAACTGGAGTCCACGGCATAAACAAAAACGTTTTCCGATGAAATGATGGAAATCACGTTTCCAAGCCTAAGCCGGAACTCAACAGCAACATGATGTGCGCTGGCAAGGGAGTCTTTGCATTCATGTCAAAAAATATCCGGACGCCCATGCGGCACGTCAGCATATTTAGGTTGACGGCATAGAAACGCAGGTCGATCAACGGCAAGACCCCTAGAAATGGCTCTATTCATGTTTTACGGACTTTAAATAAATTGGCATATGGTTTATTAAATCACTCAGAAAATTCATTATGCATGGTTTCACCGTGATTCTTCCGACCTCTTAAACAGCGGTTTTGCGCGCAACAGCCAATCTAAAGCAGCTGCTGCTGACGGCGAACGAGGTCATCACGCCTCTCGATGCATTTAACTAAGAACTCACTAAACTTAATGACGTCGCTAAATTCTGCTTCACTCACCGTGTTGGTCTTCTTTAAATTTAATGTCTATGACACTTGTGTGTTATTGTTTACTCTCTGAAGAACGAAAGGAAAGAGCATTTGACCGGTCTTGAACAACGAACGCGACGTAACAAAACGTCGCGCCTCTATGTCCCGATTACTAAAATCCCCAAGTCCTGCATTAAAGTGTAGCTGGAAAAGTTCAAAGGAAAAGGATGCACCAATTAACTAATATCTGTATAGAAAATCTAGGCCAGTTTGCAGAACTGGGCGTCACAGATGACTATTCGACCGTCGTTGCCGACAATGTCTATCGTGTGCTCCACAGCGGCGACTTTCGCTGAATTAATTTATAGTCTGATAGACTTACACAGCATCTGCCACACTCCCTCCTCCCTCAGCTGGGCCCAGTGGCGAGACACAGTCAAGAGCACTGAAGGTAGGAGAGAACGCAAGTGGCTAGCACAGTCGGACTCACACCCAGGCGTACCACCACACCCTGTGATCCACAACAAACTCTTGAGCAGGATTTTAACCAGAAACAAAAGTGGGTCAGGAAGAGACGGATGACGCAAGTCCCTGGGCAACCATGCACACGGCCCGTATACCCAGCAAGAGCGCCAGCGCTTCCACCGTCAGGAAACCAGGTGCCAGAGAACTGCCGGCGCTGTGATGGCCATTGTTTGCTGAATTACGACAGCTGAAGCAGACAAGCCTTAAAACCCAAAAGGGTGAAACGCAGCCCCGAATTCGGCCTAGGCCATCACCCTTCCATGGCCGGGTACGTCACAGTACATAGACGAAAACCATGTGCTGGGTTCCGTGAGTGAACGATACTCCCGTCACTCTCGCACGACGTCAAATCGTCATTTTCCAGATGTTCCAAATATGAGGAACTAAGGGAAGGATCCCAGAAATAACTGTTTATATACTGACTTAGTTGTGAAACTTAGGCGCGCAGTCGACCGACGTGAAGGGGCTCAGCACTTAAATTCGACAGGCAGCTACCTGGCTGGTGCGGAGGCAAAGGATTACTGAGGCGAAACCGTGTGCGAGAGCGAGCAAAGTGCCCGTAGCGAGGGAAACTGAGCATCGGCTAGTAGCTGGAGGGGAGACAATTCGCAGATTACTGGGACGATCTGGCACCATTTCCGATTTCAAAAAGTCATAATGCTGTAATGGGCGGCAGCAATGTAGACTGCGTATTGCTCAAATTAACTTTCCCGGCCTAGACTTAATTAACCTTCACGAACAAACCCCAGACCCACGAAGACTACAGCTCAGTGTAAGCAACGTAATTAATTACATGGGGGCCACGCGGATGAAGCGCGTACCATGGTCGAGAAAATTACCGATGCTTTAGAAGAGACTTCGATGATACCTGGGTTTTTGGTATCTTGGCGGGAGGGTCATGCGCTTATGTCTGGCGAAAATTGATGTGTTGGGCCGTCGTCGCCTTAGCATACAAACTCGGTCGATAAGATGGCTCGCAATCGATGCAAAAGCGTGAGAATGTTATTGTCCAAAACCACCACAACCGGGGTGGTTGCTTATGATGCTATTGAGTTTGACGCACAACCACGCTTCATTGAACATGACAATTGCAAACTCGGCGACACACGCTGTCAGAGAACGCAGCTAGTCTGTGCATAAACAAAGTTCCAGTAAATGCCCTCCGCCTGCGGTTTCCAGCGCACAGCCAACACTAAGTCTGCAGCAAGGCAGTTCGAGATCTAAACTGCCCTGGAGATTGCGTGGACCCAAGAGACAATGATCGGGATTTTAAGCTGAACCGAACCTCAGTAGCCAGACAACTATACAGTGGCGGCACTATCGCCGAGATAAGAAAATCGGGCAGAGAGCAGTTTACGAATACAGTAGACGTGGCCACTCCAGCTGATACCCATTTCAAACAGTCGCTGTCACCTATAGCACACCGTCTGTTGCGTGGATCTGACCTCTCATCGTCTGGATTTCCTGCGGTCGACCGTGTTTCATGACACCTTGCCGCCAGAACTGCTACATCCCGCCCAAGTTGACTGTCACGGAGCAAGCATCGGCAGCCGGAGGGGCGATTCCCCACGCCATACCCGGTTTTATTCTCCCAGTTGCGGTCAAATAGTTTGACCATGCTAGTGGTGCGGTCTACTGGTGCACCGAGAGACGCACTGGATAGCCAAGCATAATGAAACATACTTGTCGGACATCTACGCTACCATCCCAACGGCTCCCGTGCTCAATCACACGAAATCAGGTCAAACTATGAGGCGATTGTCGGGACTTATGGCCTAACTTATGGTTTAAACTACGGCTGGATCGCGGACCACAAAGACAACTCTCGCGCTCCTCACTCGACAGTATCCTTGAGTCCGACAAGCGATGCAGCGGCCTGTGGGCGAAATTGTCACCAAAGTCAGCTTGAGTGCGAGGCACTACGACCTCCGGTTTAATTATGTGGACGTACGTGTCGAAAGCCAACATACACGTTTCTAATTGCCACGTTTTCGGTACATGCATACGTGGTCGACTCAACTTTAGCTGGGGTAAACTCGTCGGCACAGGTTTGGTTCTTCTAACCTAGATCCTCAACAGCGCACAGCCAACAGGACTGTGAAATCCTACATGTTTGTGATACTTAACAGGGGATGCACAAAGTGAGCTTTTAAGATGACGCCTAACACAAGCTGTCTCACAGACCTTTCCAGCAGCTGACACCCGTGTACTGTTCTCCACCAGTCCCATCCTTACGGAGAGGGCAAGGACAAACTACCAGCTCAGACCACCTCCATGTGTATTTACTCCTTCGCCTGCTCCTGTGGGTCAGAATATATTGGTCGCACAAGCCGGCGTTTATCCAAAAGAATGAAACAACATCTCCCAGCATGGTTAGGAGAGGGACAAATAAAGAACATCAACAGCTCGATCCTCGCGCACATGGTAGACACAGACCACCGCGTAAACGCCAGAGAGGCCTTCAGGGTGATTTACAAGGTCCCATCAAGCTATCCAAAACTGCTTGGGCAGCGCTTGTTGGCTACGGCAGAGGCGGCTGCAATCAGGCTATGCCGACCGGTTCTATGCGCACAGGTCTCACATTTACCATGGGTCAAAGCCACCAAGCCAACCACCCGCATGTAATTACCTTTGCCGGGACTCACCTTCTCCCTGGCGCTGACTGGAATTGTGGTGTTTCACTCTCCCCCTCCCCTCTCCAAACCCGAGCTACAGCTTAATTATCTACTTGCCCGTAGCTTTTAATTCATTACTTCAATAGCCTTGAAGAGAATCTATCGAAAGCTGACGTATGCTCGCCAAATTGCCTTTTGAATTTTACAATGGGAATATTCGCAACACTAGAAAATCAGGAGTTACAGAATATGTGACCCAGACTTGGCTGTGACGTCACCCGTCCCTGTAGTATTTTACGGAGGCGACAGTGTGCCCGGTTACAGTCCTCCATGTTCCGAGACCACTGCAACTGCCGATCCACGACTGTCAAACGGCTGGGAGTCAACCGACTCACGTTGCAGCTACCCTTTAATAAAGGCCGTCTCATGAATACCTTTCAGCCATGTAGATCACAGCTTGTTGAATACTCAGCTGCGATGAGGCGGCCGCTGACCGGCTGTGATACAACGCAATCCAAAGCGCTGATACTGCTTACGGTCATGCCGTGACAAAAACCACCACATACCGTACCTTAATCTTAGGCTTTTGTCTGAAAGGGGCCACTAACGCCCCCGCGTCAGTCGACACAGCGGGCCCACGGACGCTCGTGATCCGGTCAGTCGCCTCATGCCGCAAGACTCAAGAAAGCGAAGGACTTGGGAAACCGTGCACTCGCCCTCCGAAATGCTCATCTAGCTATGTATCAGGATACTGTAAGCAACTGAAAAGGTGCTAATGGCGTCTACTAGTGACCAGAGCCCCAGAACACGAGACAGGATTTACGTCTAGACCCGTTTGGTCGGCCACCTTCAGCCTAAAATAATCGTCGAAATGCCACCGAAGTCGAAATAGTAAAATCCTACATCGGAAAATGGTTAACGATACCAACTGAAAACGACGCAGTCACCCAGACCTTCATTAGAAGTGGCTGGTAATGCGTGCACACGACACCCGTATAAATAGAATTGTTATGTATAAATTGCACTGCTGGTGTGAGCGGTGGAGTTGACTATTCTAAGAATGGCAAAAGTGGTGGAAGGCAGAATGGAGGAAATGACAATTCAGCAGTTCATGCCTGGTAGGAACACATAGTAGTAAATCAGCGTCTTGCTGTTAATGGCATTCGCCACGTCACAGCTGCAGTTTCGGAATGCTCATTATCAGACGTCGTTACGAACGCGCCGAAAGCAGACATTCCACTGAAATACACTAAGGGCAACTACATCAAGAAAGCTACGCAGACCAGTTTGGTGCAGTTTTTATTGTCAAAATTTACACTCATGCCGTCTTCTTCGCCTTCGCGTGTCCCATCTTCACGAGGGCGGCCTTGGTACACTTCCGCATTCGGAAATTCCTGATGATGCTGTTCCGCTAAAAGTAAATTTGGTTTCGGTCAGCGAGCACTTGGCGAGGGGCAACGGTAGGCCCATTGCGTCAGTAAAAGAAAGGCATCAGCATGGGGCAGACGGCTCTTCGTGTCATCATTAATGAAATAAGCAAAATAATTAAGCACGCTATTTACCTTCTGACGGGCGACCATGACCTGGAAGCGTTCAAAGTCGGTGAGACCAGCGCGGATCTTCTTCTTTTCGATCTTGCGAGCCCACTTCGACTTCTGCCACTTCTTATCAATTTTGCTTCGTAGCCATATATCCTTTACACCAAGCGTTCCACACTTAGGAGGAAGCTTCATGGTAATGCCGGTTAGGTGCACTTTTTTCAAATTAATTGGCCTTCGGGGAACACCAGTGCAAGGGCCATCGATGAGAACCCGGTTCTGGTCAATGATCTCCACAATAACAGCAAGTTTCTTTTGGTGTGAGCCAAAAACTATGTAGACCACACGTCCAACCTCGACGAAGCGAGTGTAATGCACCATCTAGGAACAACAGTTGGTAAAAACATGACTACAGCCAAATTCACGAGCGTACCTCGAGCGCCGCGCCCCTGAACTATCCATAGGTTTAAACAAGGGACCCTCACGCCATATCGCCAATCCTCTTATTTCTGTAGTAATAAATAACCAGAAAATGAATACTTTTCCTTTAAAGAAGTATGATCGACATCAGACTGCTCATTTGCTAGTAAAGTCTCTGTTTGACATCTAGTCATCACCAAAGTTCCTTGGAATTAATTTTATGCCATGCACTTGGTGAGACGACTTCTAATTCCTAAAAATCTTTCTGCAAGCTCCAAAAAAATTGCATCGAAGTTTGCAAAAGCACGAGAGCTTATCCAGCCTTCGTATGAACAGCACATATCCCTGACATACGAGTATGATTCCGACGATTCCCTTCCGCAAAATGCTGATCAGATTAGCACTTCGCAAACCTCAACATAGCTTCGAATAACATTGTTTCCCGAGCCTGTTTTGCATCAAAAAAGTTTATTTATGGTGGCTGGCTCTTAATCAGCCTCGGGTAAGCTATAATCAGGACTTTTCATTAAAGTCCTCATGACTAAACCCAGCATATCTATTCAGTGTGCATGTCAAGTATGGAGAGGATGTGGCCATTATACGTGTGAAATCCATGAGAAAACAGAATCCGCACACGTTAAAATTCCATAATTTTGTCACCCATAAATGAGGACTAATGCGTGAAATAATCGAAAAGTTAGGCGTGGTAATAAGAAATTTCAGATGCTTCCCATGCTGAAGGTCGCGACAGCATCAGCTTAATAATACGAGACTGCGGACCAAAAGATACCACTTGAATCAGTCAAAATCGGGTTCCGATGCGAGCAACATTGTAGGGTTGCAGCGAACACAGCCATAAGTCAATTTTTATCATACTGAAACCCAAACGAAAGTCATGCCGTTTCTTTAACAGTAAACAATCCGGCGATTGTAACGTACAAGTCAGGCAGTGCAGTTCGCGAGTTGGTCCTATTTTGGAAAATCATATCTGCTTCTATTCTGTTTTTTCCATAGGTCCTCTAAGTGTAAAGGGATGTACTAGGAGGTTGGCCATCTGATATGCCACGAAGAATAAATGCAGACGAATTCCTTCTTCTTTATGAGCCATGGTCTGTGTTTTCATTTGACAGCCACGGTGACATCTATTCGTGGGAAGGGAGTAAATTAGCCTTTGATAAGTCTTCTAAGTTGGGAGACATTTAAGTGGTTTACAGGTCTTGTCTTTTGCAAATAAATGACATGGTGATATTCGGCTTTACTGGCTGGGTACGAAAACAAAACCTAAGATGAGTATCCAGAACTTCGACTGTCTGCGAAGGCAAACCTGAGAGAGACCGTGGACGAGCACGTCGATTTGCTCCGCATATGAATGATACAACATTCTTAACACAGTAATGAGGAAAAAAATGACCTCATAGCCGCCTCAGGCGAACGAAAGCAAATTACACCAGACGAGAATAAATTTAGGAAGTAAGGCCGTCATTTAAATATTGAACCCTTATAATAGCTTGTTTTTAAGCACTCAGAGGTCACTGCGCAAAAAGGTTAGCAGTAAATTGGCAAAAACAGACTTTGTAGACAATGATGGTTTTCCCGAAAGGTCTAATGCACGGTAAAATTCGGAAACTGTGCTGTATAGAGTAAACGTTTTTTCACGACCGCCGGCAATTTGCCCTTTCGTGTACGATGCTTTTGATGATACTATCCACAGATGTCAAATTGTAAGTTATCTTATAAAATAATAGTGAAATACGAGCCAAGTAGTGAAAAAATTCCCGAGAGCAAAAGTGGCTATAGAGTTCAGGGAAACCTCTATTTAAAAATTTTTTTCAGGAAAAAGCATTTTGCTTTGATGGGACCCCGACGAGTCTTTAATAAATTATTATTAAGGGGTGTAGAGGAGCAGGGTGGGTTCTTTCTGAGAGTGGTATGAGACAAGAAAAGCATAGCAGCGAGTAAGAACGGAGCGTCATCAAGATTTCAGACTCCTCGTGAGATTCCAGGCATTCCAGTAGGAAGGACGGAATCCTGGTGGGGTTTGGTGGCGGGCAAAACGGAGGTAGTCTAGAGCGGACAGGTCAGATGACCCGGTTTACTTCTGTGGGTTCTTGGCAAAGGAGGACATCACGTTACGAGAAGGGTGCGATGAGTGTGGGGAGAACATTGAGATTCCTGCTGAGAGATCGGGGAAGGTGAACCCGCATGTGGAGAGGGAAACCTGCACGGACGAGTAGGTTAGCGGCGACGTCTTAAATGCCCAACTGTACTTGCGCAGAGTCACTGAAAAGGATGAGGAAGATAAAGGGTTGATCCAGGGTTTTCTTAAAAGTACATAGTCTATTTGACGATTAAATGTCGATTGACAGGTTATTTCGAGTAAAGATATAGTCGGAAGAAAAAAAGGGAGAACGTTTAAAAGTGGAGGAAATAGGCTAGAAAGAGGCATAACCAATTAAGATAAACGAAGGCTGTATGGGTAATTAACAGGAGTAAGGAATGAAGTCCGAAGAACATTTGAACTATTATTGATCGAAACCGCAGGCAGAAGTCAACTCCTAATCTCCGAATTTGTATAAACTTTAAGTTGGATAGCTAACGTCTATTTGATTAAGAAGTATTTGGACGTGTTAAAAAGAAGCATTTTTCAGGAAAATGCCTTCGAGCTCTTTTAATACTAGAAAGATTAGCCTCATTTAGTACACTAAAGAATGTACCCAAACATTCGAGAATGGGAATGGCAAACATTCCAGTATGTTCTAATGTAATGTCATTTAGTAAACATTTTTAGGAACGAAACCACATACCTGGGCAGCTTCGACCGTAATTCTACTAGCGTACAGCGAGAGATCTAGATTATTGGAGTAGCTTAAGCCTAAGTCCCTGCGGACAAAACATTTAGTAATAGGGATGTCTACAAAAATCACTACGTGGGGCACAGTTTTAGGTTCAAAACACATGTAGCGACATTTAGAAAGAGAAAATTCAACTAACCATGTTGAGCTTCATGCGAAAATAATGAGCATTCCAGAATGGATTTGTTCCAGAAATTATTGGGCGGCAGATTTAGAGGAAGAAAATGCGGACTTGAGATGATCGGTATCAATAAACGATTTAGTATCTAAGTGCCGACAAAATATTATTAATGCAAGTCAAAACGAAAGGGACCGCTCAAATGACAAACCATGCTGGTGGACGCTAAGAACCTGATTTCATATGTAAAAATCTGTAATCCTGATGGGAAGGATTTTTTAAACCACTCTACTTAGACAGGGCGTTTTATGAACACCACGAAAATATTGAACTTCAAAACTAAAGTCAGATTTAAATACTGGAATAATAATAGAAGTTTTCCAACGGTCAGAAAAAAGACCATTTTCGAGAAAGACCGACAACAGTTTCCTCAGCAGAGGAAGAAATTCCGTTAGCTGTCTAGTAAGAAAGTTCGGGATGTTGCAAGTTCAAACTGAACACGAGTAACTAAGCCGGCCAATCTATTTCAAATACTTGCACGTGCAAAACTAATGGTGACAAGGAACGCATCAGATTACAAAGGAATTGAGGGGGTGAATCGGTCCTCTTCATCGACTACTTGAAAAGAATCGTTGATAGAACTAGTTTATGGTAGAAAAAAGTGCTTTTGAACAGGCAAAGGCGGCTCTTGCCTCCTCATCTTCTTCAGGGCCCGTTTGTGCACAACCGTTTAAAATCCTTAGACTCGAGATAAGTTGAAATTCATTTATAATTGAAGTATTTGACATATTTCTGCGTCGATTTTGCGTCGATTTTTATTAGCTGTCGAAAATAACACATAAATCCATTACACTCTCTCCATTTAACCATGACTAATGTTGCGTTTGCTGTCGACCATCGTCCGTTTACAGAAGTTCATCGAGAAACATGAACACATTTTTACGATACTCGATTCACTAACACACTCAAATAAATTTACGAACAGCCTAACGAGCCTACCACAAATTGAATCGATTATACATTTAGTTTCGTCAGAAGTCGCGGATAGATCGAAACGCAGGCTCAATTTAATTATCCGTAATATACCCCACACCGTTAATCCGACACCATCAATTCAAAATTTTATACATTCGTGTGGCTTAAACATCAGAGTAGCTAACACTAAAAGACTTCACTCCAAAAGCAAAAATAAACCCGTCTTAGTAACCTTCTACTCAAAGGCGGAAGCTGAGATTGTCTTACAAAATCCCGAAGTAAACAGAAATCTACGGAACCTAAACTCGTTTATAGGTCCAGATCTGACACCTATGCAAAGACGTAAACTTCGGGAAAAAGACACCGGCTACAAATACGATAATCAGCACTCCGGTCCCTCAACTGAACCTTTAGCCACCACTTCTACCTCTAGCACTAATAAAAAGAAATACACAGGCCAGCGTAAACCAAATGATAAACCCACAGCCCTCGCAGAAGGACCTCCAGCAAGTACTTCTGACTCTAGTTCTCATGATAAAAAACGCGCAACTGCAAAAGTATTTAGGACTGCTGGTCAGAAACAAACGAGGGAGGCAAAACAAAATAACAACGTTCAACCAGAACAGAACGATGATGCAGATCCAGGACCGAGTCATGTGACACCCTTAGATAGCAGTATAAGTTTTACTACATCCCCCAATACCGATCAATCAGTACTAGAAAACGACTGCCAAACAAGACACATAAACCAAAAGGCCTTACTAAGCACACCAACACAACCAAAACGCCCTAGGTATGTTGACGTAACAAATAGAAGCCCACCAAAACCTAACCAAAAACAAACAAGCTTCTATAACGGCATCTCGACTCCCCAAAATCCACCTGCATGGCATAGGAATAAGCCAAACCACTCTAGCATTCCAAACTCCTTACCACCTACTTACAACCCTACAAATTACTTTGGCTTTTACATCTCCCCAACTGAAACTCCATTTAGGTACAATTACCACCTAGTTAACGCACATCCTCATATGTACCCTCAGTCCATACACGACAGTTCGACCGTCGATTTCGACGATGTCCACCGTGTGCCCCACAGCTGCGGCAGCGGTGGGAGCAGGGACGGTGACTTGCGCAGGGGTTTATAGTGCGGGTAGACTTGCGCTGCATCTACCTACACTCTCTCCTCCTCCCCCGCCTGGGCCCGGTGTCAAGACAGAGTCAAGAAGACCGGAGACGAGGGAGGCCGCAGGTGGATGGCTCGGACGGATCCTCGCCTTGGCGCTCCACTCCGCACCCCCTGGTCCACACACAAATGACCAGGATTTTGACCGCAAAACAATGGGGTGGTGGCAGTGGTCCAGTTGTGCGACGAATGCCGACAACAGGGTCCGCCAGCGCACCCCGCAAGTGTTGGCATTTGTTATTGCGCACAGATAACGCCTGCCAGAGTACGATGTGACCCCCGTGTTGGTCCAGCGCATCTAACACGTGGCCCGTTCAGAGGGCAACACACGACAGTTCGACCGTCGATTTCGACGACGTCCACCGTGTGCCCCACAGCTGCGGCAGCGGTGGGAGCAGGGACGGTGACTTGCGCAGGGGTTTATAGTGCGGGTAGACTTGCGCTGCATCTACCTACACTCTCTCCTCCTCCCTCGTCCGAGCCCGGTGTCAAGACAGAGTCAAGAAGACCGGAGACGAGGGAGGCCGCAGGTGGATGGCTCGGACGGGTCCTCACCTTGGCGTTCCACCACACCCCCTGGTCCACATAACAATAACCAGGATTCCAACCAACACAACAGAGATTTGGAGGCTGGCACGGCCGAAGCCGCACCTGGGCGTGCCGCCAACGCCTGGCTCGGATCCCACACTGTGGTGGGAATGCCATAAAGGCCACATTAAAAAGGAGCCATTGCAGCCTGACTCTCAGACCGCCTCCAGTGAAGGAGGAGGTCCAAGGTACCCCGTAAGTTGGCAACCTTCCAAGCCACGGCTTTTAGCGCACCGTGATAGCTTGAAGCGCGTCAGATTGTTTATAGTGGGGAAAATGCGCTGAGTCGTCGACCTCACTCTCCCTTCCCATTCCCATACTCCAGCCGCCGTCCGAGCCGGTCGGCAAACTGGAGAGGGAAATGGGCGCGGTGGCTGACATGGTCGACTGACCATGCCTGCGCGCGCCACAGCACGACCTGGCCCCCCATACGCACAAACACCAGGATTTCACACAACGGGGGTTGAAAGGCGTCACTATCACTTGCGTGAGAGGGCCGTGGAAGGTGCAGCTTCAGCCCGTCCCCAGCCCACCAGTCCGCCACTCCCCACAACATACACATACAACGTGGCGAACTGCGTGAGCCGAGAGCGGGCGTCGAACAGCAACCTTCCTATCCACGACGCTTGACGTGTCGGGATAGTCTCGGACTCAAGTCACCCGTGCAGCCGAAGCCGCATGGGGACCGAGGCGAGAGCACACTTTCCACTTGCGTGGAAGGTGGCGGTTGGTGCATGCGGTGGAGGAGTGTTGATGTGCGTTGTTGATGGTGGAGGAGGGTAGGGAGTGTGTGAATGTGTGGTGTAACCGGCGGTTGGCTACCGCAGGTCGTCGTGGATGCGCATGTGGCCGAATAGACCCATGCGATGCCTGAAAGTGCGAGGACAGTGCGGGCAGTTGAGTCGAGCTTGGTGGGTGTAGGTTGGTGCTCCAGGCACTGGTTCGCCAGTCTCTGTGCGATGGATTCGCAAGTGACCGACCAGGCCGATGCGTGAGGTGAAGGTGCGTGGACAATGTGGGCATGAGAGGTCGGCGGTGTCGGTGCCAGCTGTAGAGGAAGCAGTGGTGTTGGTGGTGGTCGGCGCGTGTGACGGTGGAGCGAGGATGGGTCTGGGCGTGTTGGATGTCGTGGCTGTATCGCAATTGTGGCCAATTCCGCTCTCGTGGATGCGCATGTGACCGAATAGACCCATGCGATGCGTGAAGGTGCGAGGGCAGTGTGGGCAGTGGAGGCGAGTGCGGTGGGTGTAGGTTGGTGCGCCAGGCACTGGTTCGCCGGTCTCTGTGCGATGGATTCGAAAGCGACCGACCAGGCCGATGCGCGAAGTGGAGGTGCGATCGCAGTGAAAGCAGATGTAGCCCTGGCCCTCACGTCTGATGATGGAGGTTGCAGGGCTTGTGCCTGTTGTTGTGCCCGGTTCGGCTGTGGTGAAGTCGTGGGCGACGGACGCCGAGGCTGCCGTCGTTGTGGCAGTGAAGGAAGAAGAGGAGTAGTAAGGGGAGGACTGAAGGGTGGTAAGGGTGGCGTCGATGTCGGCTGGGGAGTGGTTAGTGGGTGCACAAAGTGGTGCATTGGGAGTGGGGCTCGGCGGGGTGGGTGTGTCAAGCCTGCGGTCAATTCCGCTCTCGTGGATGCGCATGTGGCCGAATAGACCCATGCGATGCGTGAAGGTGCGAGGGCATTGTGGGCAGTGGAGGCGAGTGCGGTGGGTGTAGGTTGGTGCTCCAGGCACAGGTTCACCAGTCTCTGTGCGATGGATTCGCAAGTGACCGACCAGGCCGATGCGTGATGTGAAGGTACGGTGGCAGTGAGGGCGGGTGCAGTCCTGATCCTCATCACTGGGATCGGGAGAGGTGCGGGTGGTTGCGGTAGTTGTGTTGGGGTTGGTGATGTGTGAGACGGCTGTCTGAACGGCCGCCGCTGGGGCAGTGGAGAGGGAGGAGGAGGAGGACGACGAGGAGGATGGAAGTGGTGGTTCGAAAGAGTTATCTGAGTTAGTTGGTGGTAGAGAGGACGAGGAAGAGGCGGGCGGGGGGAAGAGGGCTGGAGCAGTTCGAGAGGCATAGTTGATTTGAAGATGTCCAACAAGTCCGATTCGTGCCCGGAATGTCCGTTGACATCGAGGACACGTTGGGAGCGGTTGTGCGGCGGCGTTGCGGACTGGGCGAAGTTGTGATTTGCGGGCTTCGCGTTTCGCTTTGGCTTTCGGTTGGCTTCATAGATAGCAGCGCCCGTCTTCACTGTTTTCCTCCATGTCGGACGATCGCGGGCGAGATCTTCCCAGTTGGTCGGGTTGATTTGCAGGCATTTCAGGGAGGACTTCAGGGTATCCTTGTAACGGCGAATTTGGCCTCCTTGACGACGAGAACCCGTCGCGACGTCTCCGTAGAAGAGTCGTTTGGGTAGTCGCTCGTCGCCCATGCGCACCAGGTGGCCGCTCCAGCGCAGCTGCATTTGTCTCAGCATGGAGTAGATGCTCAGGATTCCAGTTCGTTCCAGCATATCGGTGTCGGGGATGCAGTCCTGCCAGTTTAGCCTCAGGATGCGACGGAGACAACTGAGATGGAAGTGGTTCAGTCGGCGTGCCTGTCTCGTGTACACCGTCCATGTCTCTGCTCCGTACAGTAACGTCGGCAGGATGACGGCCTTGTACATCTTCAGCTTTGTGCTCAGTTGGAGACCGTGGCGATTCCAGACTGTGCTTCGGAGACGACCGAAGGCTTGACTGGATTTCGAGATCCTGCTGGCGACTTCGACATCAATCTTGGTGTTGCGGGAGAGGGTACTGCCCAGATACGGGAAGTTCTCCACCACTTGCAGTTGGGTTCCGTTCACGATGATTTGCGGCGGCGCGTTGGGGGCTGTGGCTGAGTTGGGCGGCGGTTGGTGCATCACCACCGTCTTCTACGTGTTAATGACCAGACCGAAGTTCTCGCAGGCGGCGGAGAATAGGTCCATGCTCCGTTGCATCTCCTCTTCCGGGGTGGTGTTCAGGGCGCAGTCGTCGGCGAAGAGTAGTTCGTGCACGGTGGCTGTGGATATACGCGATTGGAAGTTCATGCGCCGTTGATTCAGGAGATGACCGACCGTTCTGTAGGCGATGCGGATTCCAGGGCGTTCATCGCGGTAGGCGTCCATCAGCATGGCAGAGAACATAAGACTGAAGAGGGTAGGCGCCAGCACACAGCCCTGCTTCACTCCGTTGGTCACTGCGAATGCCTCTGAGACAGCTCCGTTGTCCGTGACTCGCGCCATCATACCGTCGTGCACCTGACGCACCATCTGAGTGAATCGCTCCGGACAGCCGAATTTCTGCATGATCTTCCACAGTCCTTCACGATTCACCGTGCCGAAGGCTTTCGTCAGGTCCACGAATGTAGAGTACAGGTGGGTCCGCATCTCCTGGCACTTCTCCTGAAGTTGGCGTGGTCCCACGATGACGACGGAGGCCGCATTGGCTTTCCGGCAGAAGGCCCTGTTCCAGATGGTTGTTGAGGCGGTTGAGTAGGATGCGAGCGAAGATCTTCCCGGCGATGTTCAGTAGGGAGATGCCGCGGTGATTGTCGCAGACTTGACGATTCCCTTTTCGCTTGTATAGGTGCACGATAGTTGCGTCCTTGAAATCTTGCGGGACTTCACTTTGACGCCACATCTCCTGGAAGAGCGCAGTCAGGTGATCCATCAGTAGGGGACCTCCGTGCTTGTAGACCTCAGCAGGGATTGCGTCCGATCCGGGTGCTTTCCCGCTGGAGAGTTGCTGCACGGCCCTGATGGTCTCCTGGAGAGATGGCGGGAGGTCGAGGTCCACGTTGGTCTCCACTTGTGGCAAGCGGGCGATGGCGGCGTCGGAGATGACGGAAGGGCGGTTGAGGACGCCCTGGAAATGCTCGGCCCATCGCTGTAGGATTTGCGTTTTCTCAGTCAGGAGAGTGCTGCCGTCGGCGCTGAGGAGAGGAGCAGTGCCCTTCGTCGGCGAACCGCAGACGGCTTTGATCGCGGAGAAGAAGTTCTTCCATTCGTTGCGGTCCGCGTAGCCTTCGATCTCCTCAGCTTTGCGAGCAGTCCAGGCGTCCTGCATCTCGCGCAGTCGTTGCTGAAGCTGTCGGCGACTGCGGTAGAAGGCAGCTTTGTTGTCCTCAGTGGGGTGAGCTACGTAGGCCTTGTGTAGGAGGTTCTTCTCGGCAAGCAGATAGCTGATGGCGGCGTCGTTGTCGTCGAACCAGTCCTGGTGTTGGTGGGGAGCGCGACCGAGGACGGCGAGCGCCGTCGACTGGACCGTGTCTCGCAGTTGACACCAACGGTTCTGCACGGAGGCGTTCTCGGCATCGGGGGCGTCTGTGGCGGCAGCGATAGGAAGGTTGTCTAGCCGTTGAGCTAGCTCATTGCTGAAATGGAGACGGTGAGCAGGCAAAGACTGCAAAGCAACATTCAGCTTACCTGGCGGTCGCTTACCTTGTGGTCTCTTGCGAGGCTGTAGGCGAATACGCATCTTCGAGATGACGAGGCGATGGTCGGTCCATCCGTCAGCACCCGCGATCGCCTTCGTCACCAGCACGTCTCGCTGATCTCGCCTCCGGACGAGGACATAGTCCAGCAGGTGCCACTGACGCGACCGAGGATGCCTCCAGGTGGTCTTCTCTCGTTCCGGCAGACAGAAGAACGTGTTCGTCAGGATGAGGCGGTGTTCTGCGCAGGTGCGGAGGAGAAGCAGGCCGTTGTCGTTGGAGCCGCGGAGACCGTGAGGACCCAGCACTCCCCTCCAGGCAGTATGGTCTGTGCCGACGCGGGCGTTGAAGTCGCCAAGGACGATCAACTTGTCCGCCTTCGACACAGTCGCCAAGAGGGCGTGCAGGTCCTCGTAGAATTGGTCTCTTGAGGCGGCGTCGGGGCTGCTCATCGGCGGAGCGTAGGCGCTGATGATGGTGGCGAATTTGCCTCCTCGCCGGAGGGGCAGACGGAAGCTCATCAGGCGACCGTTGATTCCCTGCGGCAAACAGGGCAGTCGTCCTACGATGTCGGTCCGGATGGCGAAGGCGACGCCCGCGTCTCGTCCCTCTGCCTTGGGTCGACCACTCCAGAAGAAGGTGTAACCGGCACCCACCTCCTCTAGTTGGCCTTGTTCGGAGAATCGGGTTTCGCGGAGTGCGGCGATTTCCACCTTGTAGCGCGCCAGTTCTCGTGCCACTAGCGCCGTCCTCCGTTCCGGTCGGTTGCTCCTCGGATTGTCTAAAAGGGAACGAACATTCCAGGCTGCCAGAGTGAGCGGGCTCACCCTGCCAGTCTGGTGACAACGAGTGGGGCGACAGGAAGAAGATGGAGAAGAAGGTGACGAAGGAGAAGAATAGGCAGAAGATTAGACGGAGCTAGAGGAAGAAGAGGTAGGATGAGAAGAATGAGTATGGTTGTTGTTGTTGTTGTAATTGGTATTGTTGTTGGTTCGATTTTGATTGTTTCGACCGTATTGATGGCATCTGCGGCCTTGGCTGGCCTGCAGACGGCGTGGTGCCCAGCATTTTTTAGACCACCTTTTCAAGGCCCTTCCCCTCGTGGGGGCAGGCAGTGCCGTCCCTGAATCGGGCTGCCCATGTGCCTGGTTGGCGCGACCGAATCCCACTATGGGGCCACGACTTTTATGTTCGTAGTGGAGAACGACCGCATGTGCCGTGAGTCCGCGGTCTCCGTCGGCGAGTGTGGGCGCGTCTCAGCGAAGACGATGCAGAGACCCGCCCCGGCAGCAGTTATCCAACGGCGTACCAGGCAGAGCCTCGTCTCGACGATGCCGGCGCAGTGTTTCATCCGACCATCCATCCAGCGGAGTCCGCGGTACTCTGTGCACTCGGCACAAGTGCACAGCGCCCTCACCTGGTTTAGCCCGCCGGTCGAGACGGTTGCCCGGGGTGTGGCTGCTGAGCAGAGCCCAGCTACGTGGAGCCACAGGTGAGAGTTAGGCGCCAGCAAATGGACGCTAGGCGTAGTCTCACCTGTAAGCATGTGAGCGACCACTACGACCATCACGTGTATCCACCGCTGGACACCCCTACACCCCTTTTACGTTGTATATAGGGTACTCAAAAGCTTACGCCTAATTCCCTCGATAAACTGTCCTAAACTGAAAAGATGGAATCCACTGAACGGCTCTGGTCCATGTCCAAATTTTCCACGAGGAAAGCCTACTTGTAAGACTTGATTGGTCACGGTGAAAACCGTGCTGGGCGGCACGTAATGGGTTCATCTGCTCCAGATACGTTACAAGATGGCTCGTACTAAGTTGTTGAAAGATCGTGCACGAAAAGCAGGTTAAACTAAGACAATGGTAGTTCACGACTGCACTCTAGTTCCTCCCTTGTAGATTTGGAAGGTAGAGCCAGTTCTCCACTGATTCGGCAGCTCGTCTTCGTCCGTTTACTTTTGAAATGCCAACGGCAACGGCTTCCGCAGTGCGTCGACCAATTTTCGAAGGGAAAGTGAACGGATTATATGTGAACCAGAGGAATTGGCACGTTTTCGGCGGATGAATTCTGCCTTCATGGATGCATTTGAGAAAGGAAGACAGTCTTCTGGTAAAAACGAAAGCAGAATCCGGTTGTTATTAGCGGAAAGAGGAGGAACATTTGCCCCATATATGAACACGATCTGAAAAACCAGATAGGACTGATGCTGTCGTAAATCGTAATGTTCTCACGAACTAACGAGTTATATCTCACGAGCCCCTAGACTTAAATGCAGCAAGTAAATCGGAGCAGTGAATAATATAGAGGTTTTTGAACGTTAAGAAAACTGACAACAGAATACCACAGCAGAGCACGCTAGCACGGCGGGTTGTCCCGGTGTGTCGTTTCTCGTCACATTCAAACAAGCAATGCGGTCAAAGGAAATGGGACTAAACTGTCAAAGGTAAATTAGTCAGGTACCTCACCACAGTACCCCCCTTCTAGACCGGAGGGCGACGGGATACGGCGCCGGAGGATATGCACAAGTCTAGAGAAAATGGGTAACTAAACGATCAGGAAAATGAACGTGACGGCCACTGCGAGTTATGTATGCAGGAGGTACAGTCGAAGAGGGTTGACTGCGTGCTGTGGTGGACGATGGTGTTGCAGTTGGATGCTGTTGACATGTAGGGAGAGGAAGTATGCGGGACGGAGGGGTAGAGGGCAAGGGAGGGGAAGGGCAAGGCGGTGGGCAGGGTGAACGAGTAGGGGATAGGGAAGATGGAGGAACAGGGGTTAGGGGGTCAGCACATGTTTGTCCTTGTGACAGGTCCGGCGGCTCCTCCGCAACAGCAGCCTTGACCCGATCGACACTGACCACGTCCTCCTTGTCATTGCGAAGAATTCGGAAGGTCTTGGTGTTGCGCGCGAGCACGCGGAACGGTCCTTCATATGGTGATTCCAGCGGCTGGCGCACACGGTCACACCGGACGAACACATGAGTACATTTGTCCAAGTCTTTTTCGACATAAGACTCAGTCATTGGAGCTCGAGGTCGAACCGGGGAAAGCGAGCGCATAAATTGTCGCAAACGGTGCACAAGATTGTCAGGAGTCTCGTCGGCTCCACGAGAGGTTGGGGTGATCATCTCGCCTGGCAGTCGGAGGGTAGTGCCGAAAACCAATTCAGCTGCGCTACAGCCCAGATCCGACTTCAGAGCTGCGCGGATGCCGAGGAGTGCAAGAGGAAGGTTGTCCGACCAGTTTCCTGGGTCTTCTACGGCACGCAGGGCGGTCTTTAGCTGGCGATGGAAACGTTCCACCATACCGTTGGCAGCGGGGTGGTAGGCTGTCGTCCGAATGCGTGTGCAGCCAAGGAAATTGAGTAGCGTTTGGAAGAGTGCCGACTCAAACTGGGCACCACGATCAGTCGTAACCGTGGATGGGGCACCGAACATGGCGACCCAACGACTGACGAAGGCCTTCACGATGGTTTCAGCCTGAACATTCGGCAAAGGAATAGCTTCAGCCCAGCGAGTATATCGATCGACACAGGTAAGGAGGTAGGTGAAACCATTGGATGGAGGCAAGGGGCCTACGACATCCAGGTGCACATGGCTGAACCGTGCGTCGGGACTGGGGAAAGTGCCTGGTGGGGACTTGTTGTGACGCTGCACCTTGTTGCGCTGGCAGCTCAGACACGACCGGGCCCAAGCTTTGACGTCCTTGTTCATGCCAGGCCAGACAAACCTTTCCGCGAGGAGCTTTTGAGAGGCTCGGATCCCAGGGNAGTTGCGAACCCGCTACGTTTTGAGTCGGGGTATTTGAGGCACTGTTCGCCGATTGTGGAGGAAAACATTTTATACTGGTGCTGGATTTATTGGGTGTCCGAGTGGCTGAGACAGCAATTGGATTTGCCTTTGACTTAGGCAAATGCTTAGGCTTACTAGGGGTTGCTGAGGGAGTCGATAGAGGCGTGCACACTTCCATTCTTCCGGTAGCTCGCCGTCTTCAAATGACTTTTGAAATATTGCGGATAAGGGTTTACACAGTTCATTAGCAAGTTCGCGAAGTGCTAGGGCGGGAATTCTATCTGGGCCAGGCGATTTGGCAGGTTTCAGCCGGAGTAGCTCGGCCCTAACAATGGTGGATGAAAAGAGTGGTTCCTCGGTTAAGGAGGATAGGGAGGGGATAGGATGGGGAAGGGTACTGGGAGGAGAGGTTGTTTGGCGAATGGATGGATGGGCAAATATAGCACTAGGTTCTCGGGTGAAGACGGACTGAAAGAAGTCGGAAAGGAGGGACGCTTTAACCTGGTCATCAATCTCCACTTTTCCATCTGCAGACCTGAGGGCAGGGATTAGCTCCTGAGTCCTTTTAGTACTTCGTATATAACCATATAGAATTTTCGGATGCACCAACGAATTTCGGAGTATGTGTAGTTCAAACTTCTTTCGCAGCTTTGAGGCCTCACTTTTACAGACGTTTCGTTGCCACTTATATTCCTGTAAGTGTTCGTCGGAGCCAGTTTGTCTGTAACGCCTCCACAGACGATTCCTTTTTCTGAAAGAGGCCTTCAAGTCCGGGTTTATCCATTTTGGGCGGTTTGTGATTGTCTTCCTTCTAAGAGGACAATTGGAATAAACAATCTCTTTCAGTAAGGAACTGAAAGTATTCCAGTTATCGTTTGCTCGACCATGCAGTTCAGTCTCCCATGATATAGCTGCCGCTTCCCTTCTCATGAGAGAATAGTCACCTTTCCAAATGTTTCTCTCCCACCTCTCGGGTTGGGCGGGTTTGTAAAACAGTGAGTACTCGAAGTAGAGCGTGATGTGGTCGCTTGACCCTAATGGCTGTCGGTCCTGCAGGTCTAACACGTTTTCCTCCTCTCGGGTAAAAATAAGATCAAGGCAGTTCGACTGCTGCCCTTCCCTGACCCGTGTTCCAAAGGTAACATTCTGGCAGAGAAGTTTGTCCGTTGCCGATTGTAGTAGTTTATGATTAAAGCTGTCTTGCGGCCCTTGTGCAGTCCACGTTAGCCAATCAATGCCAGGAGCGTTAAAATCCCCAACGATAAGGACGTCTTTCTTCTCGCTAGCTTGGTACAGTTCGGATATGAGCATGAGATCTTGGTCAGAAGTATGGTTTGGTGAACGGTACACTACCGAAAGCGTCAATGATCGGACATTCTTAGTAGATATGGTAACGCTTAGCAGTTCCACATCTCGTACCGGTCTGTGTACATCAGCCATAACGCTTAGCTTGCAAGTGACATAAATTATGACTCCTCCTCCTCGGCTTAGTCTATCTCTCCTGAATTGCTGATATCCTCTATGTGATATTTCTGAATCTGCGATATCTTCAGTAAGCCACGTTTCTGTGAATGCCATAATGTCTGGCTTAATTTCATCAACTAAGTCTCTTAGTTCATCTAGTTTGTTAAAGAGGCTTTGCACATTTGCGGATATAACCTTCAATGACTGATTTGTTGGAGAGGCCCGTCCTTCATTGTGACGGGTTCTGACCACAGGAAAGACCCCTTTGTTTGGACTATTTGTCCATTTTTGATCTTCAGCCCTTTCTCTCCTCTGCCAATTCTCTCCTTCAATTCTGATCTCAGTTCTCCCATTTTCAGTCTTTCCCTCGGTTCGTAGTCTGGTTGAAAAAACACTTCCTTGTGCGAATTGCGTAAGGTCGTTCTACTTTCTAACAAAAGCGCTGCTTGGGCTTCGTTTTCCAAAATAACTTTCAGGGGTCTTGGGGATTTTTCTAGGTCACGATTTGGGTCCGCTCTGCCTAGTCGGAAAGCTTTTTTAACGGTGAATATTTTCCCTTCCTGCAGGACGGCACTGGCGTACTGATGAAGAAGGTCTAGGTCGTGCGTCACTCGTTCCTTCGGAATGCAGGACGTGGACTCTGGGGCGCCCCTTATGACAATATTTTGCTTACGATTTATGGAAGAGCTCATTACTGTCCCGTCCGCGCTAGGACGATATAATGCTACTGTAGTATTCCCGACGGCTGTTGTCACTTCGACATTTGAATGATTTTCGGCCGGCGAAGGGAGTTTAGGGCATGGATTTTCATGTGACGTACTTGCTTCGGCAGTGGAGCCCTTACAATCATTACCCTGTTGCAATGTACTGCACGAAGGCTTATCGTGTCCTTTTCCATAAACGGAATGGTTAGCGCACTTTCCAGATGAGTTAGACTTGTGAAGAAGTGGAGTAACAGCATTGCCTTCCAAGAATAACGGCGAGTCCTTGTAGTTCCTAACAGATCTTCTGAGGGTCATCCTGGCTTTCCCAACTTTATTGTTCGATGATTTGGCAGGTTTTATTACTATAGCAGGTAATGGAACCTGACTTATTTTTAATGCATTAGTGTCGACTGCCACGTTATCCACCGGAACTGATTTGTCTAGAGTTTCCTCTGGAGACATAACTCGCTTCCTCTTCCTGACTGGCTTTGACTTTTCCGCGCTAGCGCCTTTATTAGTAGAATGTTCGTCGCCGATCGATCGGAAATTTGGCGGATTATTTGGTAATTCTATCTTACTGTGCTTAAGAATAGCCATGATGATGTCCGTCAGTAGGCCTTGCTTCTCTTCTAGCGTCTGGATCCGCTTCTCAAGTTCCTTACAGCCGACACAGCGACCGACAAGCGCAGAATCCGTCCCGTCTGTCATACAGTTTTCGAGGCCTCTTGGCAGTGCATCGGTTCTTATTTCCTGTCTTATCTCTTGGAGCCTATTGTGCGTAATCTCCCTGGAGTCTAATGATTCCAGCGGCATTTTATCGCAAGAGACTGCTAATGAATTAAAGACCGTTTTCAGCTGCTCTTCTGTAGTTGATAAACATATCTGACTAGCGCCAAACCGTTCATCGATAGCGCAGTGGCTAACGCTGTGGCCTCCGAGACCGCAGGTACCGAGTTCAAATCCCGGTTGCACAACTTTTGTGAACGAGTTTTTTATAACAAGTTGGCTCATTGCTGATGATTTTCAAACTCTTCAATCAGTTCTAGAGTAGTGCAGGATGTTTTCAACAATTTTTAGAATGAAGAATTTGCCAATTATGAAGTAAAATAGGAAACGACTCAGCCGTTTATAGTTTTCGACGTAGATCTCGGAGAAAAGTTGTCAAGTAGGGAGACTTGTACAGATGGCCGGACGATTGCAAATATCTTTTGATGGAGAATTTGTGGTATACTTCACCGGTGCGAATGAGAAGACTAATCAGTGGTGCTGTTCCTTGAAGAATTCGGGTAGAATCTTCCTCCTGATACCGTGGGAAATAACGTCGAGATCTGAAAATTCCAATAATGATAGAACTTTCGAGTTGGTGTACTTGTAATCCAAATTCAAATGATACGTTGTCAGTTCGCAATTTATTTCCACGCGACGTTCAGTCTGCCCTATACTATCAAGTAAATTCGACGAAAACTCGGAGAGCTGGGGATACGACTCAAATTCGAAGGACGCGCCTTAATTTTATTATTATTTTAATATTATTATTCCAGAATTTAAGTCTGGCTGTCGTTCTGACGTACAGAACTATCGAAGTGTCCATAAAATACCCTCTCTCGCGAAAATCTTCGAAAAAATTATCGCCGTAAAAATTACCGAATTTTGCATAGCCAATCAAGTTATTAGCCCTTCCCAGCATGGTTTTTTACCAGAACGCTCTTGTGAAACATGTCATCTGTCGTTTCTCGATCTACTTACCTCTCTTCGTAATGACCACCTATCTGTTGTCGTTATTTATTTTGATCTTAGTAAAGCCTTTGATAAAGTGCCACATAAAAGACTCTTGATTAAATTGGAAGCTATGGGAATTCGCAGTCCACTAATAGACTTTCTCAGGTCATACCTGTCTAATCGTAAACAAAAGGTTTTGGTGGGATCTTCACTTTCCAGTGAAAGTCCTATTGTAAGCGGTGTCCTACAAGGTACCGTTTAAGGTCCTCTTTTGTTCTTACTTTACATAAATGATATTTCAGCAGCAGTTAAACATTCTCAATCATTTATGTATGCCGATGATCTCAAATGTGTATATTCTTTCAATAAATCTACGAGCCTTCATTGCCTGGAGCTAATCCATGCTGACTTGCTTGCTCTCTCAGCTTGGAGCTCAAAATGGCTAATGGAATTCTCTCCGTCTAAATGTCGTTATATGTGTTTTGGACCTGATAGGCTACCCCAACCTGTGGTCTTTCAAGGCACACCTATGACTGAATGTACCACCATCAAGGATTTAGGTTTAAGCTACACTAGTAATCTTGATCTCTCACCGCACGCTGACAGAATTACAGCCAAAGCTGCCCAGATTTGTGGCTTTATTTCTTACAATTTCTATCTTCCTGAAATTAAATTAAGGCTCTATCGTATGTTTGTACTTCCCATTCTCGAGTATTGTTGCCCATTCTTTGGTTTGATGAATGAAGCCAGTCGTTTAAAAATTGGAAATGTCCAAAGACGTTTTTCTAAAAAACTTTTAGATAGGGAACATCCCAATATCTCCTACTCAGATAGATGCCAGCTAATTAACCTAAAATTTTATGGGTTCAAAGACTAAAAGCGGGCTTCTGTCTCCTCTTTCGCATTAGTCATAGTTCAAATTTTCCTCGGATTTCAACACTTACCCCTAGTAGTCGCCCATACAATCTTCGTAACTCGTCTCTAATTATACCTCCTCCAGCGTCCTCCACCTCTAAGTGCTCCCTTTTTTTCGCTTCCAGGTATACTTTCCTCTGGAATAACCTTCCAATAAATATAAGATCTTCAGAAAATCTTCACACCTTTAAGAGAAGGCTACGCCTTTATCTGAATACTGACTCGATCAAACTTTTATTTTCCTCATCCTTCCCAGACAACTTTTTCTATGACACTGAGAAAGGGCCACCGGGAATTTAGCATGCCGCTATTAAATTTCCGTATCTGTTCACGTTTCCTTCCTTTATGAGTAGTCACGCTACCTAAGATCCCTCGCCAGAAATGTTAATTATTCCAATTTTTCAGTTCATACATCGTGCCCTCACAGAATGCGCACCATCTATGCTCTTGGCGAAACCTTCTGTATTCGCCATATACTAGTAGTCTGGTCGCATCTCCCTTACCCCATCCTCGGTTGGACTCGGATGAATGTAACCGACCGCATCTGGGTTCCTATCAGCTCGAGACTAGTTTTCAATTTCGCCTTTTATTTTTCTTATTCAAGGCGATACAGGCCAGTCCTGACCGACCCGCCTACGTACCATTTTATGAAATCGGTTACACAATGTCATATACAGCTGACATTTATTTCGGCCATGTTGATGTCGGACTATATTCCATTCTGTACCGCCACATGCAGGCCAGTCCTCCCTGTATTTTTCTGATGCTACTTTTCTGAGGTTTTTTTTCTCCTGTTAAATTACTACAATCATTTTTGAATTTTGCTTTGGAGTTTTTTTATCCCTCGTTTTTTCATTTTTTTTTCATTTTCATTTTGCTTAACGGACTTCTAATCTCAAAAACTATGTATTGCACTTTGTACAGATATTGCCTACCTCGTCTAAAATTCGCATGTAAATTTATTTTTACTTGCTTTGATGGGACCCCGACAGGTCTTTAATAAAAATAATTGAATTGAATTGAATGACCCTTGACATTAGGTAAGCATCTAGTATGGATGCAGGGTTTGGTCGACCATCAAGACCGTAGTTGAGGCTGCCTTGAGTAACTGACAACGACAAAACGCATGAACTCTTTTGGCCTACCGTTTCAACGAAAGAAAGACTCACTGTTTTACTGGGCTCAGTGGACCCGATGTATGTTATCCCAATGCCAGCTTTACCTGAGAAAGCCATATCCGCATGCGTTATTTCTTTTTTGGAATTTATGGTACGAATGGTGTCTTTTCACAAAATGAATGGCAGACAGACCTTTCTAGATTTTCCATTTCTTTCTCAACGTGTTCTATCTCCTTCCGTATTACTAAAATATGCGGTAAGATTTAGACGTCCCGTGAAATTTTCGTCCCCGTAGACGACATTCGTTAAGGTTTCGGGAATTTTTGTCCTCTTTGGAGAAGACGAAATTTTCGCGAAATCCACCTTTTCAGGCGCTCTAGCAAACTCCGATGTTTTATCCATTATATGCTATTGCCTCCAAGCTGCTTATCGGTGGTGTAAGTACACCTGGTCTTACCCCGCTGTTTAGGTACGCAAATTTGAGCATGGATACGAACGATATTTTTGAACGATTTGCAAAAACCGAGAACCCTTCTAATTGCATGATACCTTTGAACATGTTTTTCTGCTTGTTGTTTGGCTCCTACCGGTGTTGTGGTGGTGAAAACTGCGACGCCACTTGTCTGTGGAGACAGATTATAGGCCTCAAAATGTTTTGGTTCAACACTCCTAGGTTACTAAGATTACCTCCCCCGGTATTGGTTCAGAAGTAACAGTGAAAATATACCAACCACAGTCACCTTCGCACTGTGTAATTCTGAATTAACAAACCCGCTATTCCGGTGTTTGTTTACTTGAACTTGAGCTATAAGGTTAAACGAACCCGACCGGCCGAATAAGTGGGGGAGATTCATTCTTGGTGTGTAGTTGCTATTTGCACTTGGGGTTGTTCTGGAGTGAAGATGATGGTACATTTGTTTTCTTTTAATTAAAACATTCCTAGCACATACCCGACGCAAACTCCCAGGATATCGTCGAAGAACGTGCTATTAATGAAGAATATAAAATTTGGAAGCGAAATACTCCATTTCTTTATGACATGCTCATGTCCCATTGCTTGGAGTGGCCTAGCCTTTCAGCCCAGTGGTTACCAACAGTTGAACGGTAGGTTTCTTGCTTATTTTTGGATGTTCTTAGAACTGCTGAAGATTACTCGGTACACCGGCTCATTCTGGGAACACACACATCAGACGAGCAAAATCACTTATTAATAGCAACAGTGCATCTTCCGAACGATAATGCTGAATTTGACGCTAGTACATACGAGTCAGAGAAAGGAAATTTTGGTGGATTCTATTATCCGTCGGGAAAACTGGAAATAACCATGAAAATTAATCACGAAGGCGAGGTCAACCGTGCGCGTTACATGCCTCAAAATCCGGACGTAATTGCAACCAAAACACCCAGTGGCGACGTCCTCGTTTTTGAATATCCCCACCACCCTGTCCGAGCGCCTGCCGAAAGAGGATGCCAACCGGATTTACGACTGAAGGTAAGGCTTTAAACTTGCCCACTTAGACGTGGTTTAGTGATATTTTTTAATTTTAACATTGATTAGTCTTGCTCATTTTCCCATTAGTCGGAATTACCAGACAATTAGACACATTTAAGACATTTCGAAGGTTTAAATCTCTTTCGGATTTGGGAAGTCTGATGGATTAAAAACCTTTTACCCCCAAAAGTCCGAATTTTCGATTGAGACGTAATGCTATTCGAAAAAGTGAGGTTTCTTGACAGCCCAGACCCATCGGAAATCTGCAAGGATTTCGAGTCCGATATGAACGGTCGGATGATTAGGAGTGGGAGAAAGGGTGGCATAAGAAGAATATTAGGTTGGGACAGGAAGGTCAGTTTACACGGAGCTGGGTGGGAAAACATATCCTAACTTCGGCAGATTTCTTGCGAAGTAGTACTTCCCGGCGCCAAAGGATTCACTACCGCCACCCAGGAATCAAATAAAACAAGTTCCCAGGGGCTCATGAACTATGACTTCCTGGCTGCTAGTCGATAGCGTCTCTAAGCTTACATTTGCCTTTGAGAAACAAAACTACGAAGGATGGGGATATGAAGCCTTAGACTATCGCCAGGCGGATTTTGAAATCTGCATCTGTGTGCTGAGCAATTTTTGTGATGTCGGGAGGGATAGAATTTAGCCGATAGCTGACAAGAAAGGATGCGAAGTCCATCAAAGTATTCTTCTTCATGATCTTCTGTGAGCATGGATAAGCCGTCAACAACTGACCCAAAGTCTTAAGTTTTAGTCGGTCCAGGCCTTTGTATCGCCCCATATATGTTCGGAGACCGCAGGTTACTAATCACCGGAGCTGCCTGCGGTCATTTTTTTCTTTTGGCACCCGTCTGATTTGGCCGGCTCAGAGAGTCGGTCTATCGACACCGGTACTGGGTGGATCTTTGATCTCAAAAGCGGTCTACTTTGGACCAGCACCGGATAAACGGCCACTCTGAGCACTCGGGTTTTTTCCCCGTTCTCATCAACATCGAACTGCCATCATCCTCATACACATTTTTATCTATGAAGATACTGTTCTGGTTTCCAGGATACTTCCAGTCAATAGGGGCTGCGAGGATAAGGACGCTAGTCACCGATCATCATATCATATTCAGCCACTTTCTTATCTAATCACTCGACTGTGATGCAATGAATCTCCACAACTGTATGTCTATTACCCAAGCAGTTTCCCTACATAATGACTGATTCTTCTACCGGTTAGAGCCTTTGGTCGGGAGCCGCCTTCTCAGTATTGTTGGTTGTACAAGAACAAGGGGGCGAACGCGTTACCTTTAACAGTTACGTTGGTGGACCTGTTTCTTTCCTCATGACAACAAATTTGTCGATCTGCCTCCTCATTTAGACAATCTAGTAGAAAACGCCTCTCTGGGAGGGGTTTAGAAATCGAGCACTAATGTTTGACTCTGGCCTTCCGGCAGAAATTGAACTTATGCCCACCCTAACGGTAAAAAGCATATTGATGGTTACAGCTATGGCACTGAATGAAGCCCCCTTTGCTTCCAGGTTGGTAGCATATCCGCCAGCGAAATTAAAATTCTTCCATTACATACAAAACAGGTTTTCTACGAAGCATGCCAATTTTATAGAAAATCTTCACACAAAAGTGACGTTCATCAATCTTTTCTGGTTGCCAAACGGAATACAGGCGATCACTTTTTCTCTAGAGCTTTTGTTTGGAGCTCTTTTAGGAGATCGTATGACGACGTTTAAGACAGTAATCTAGTTGTTCGGTTGACAGGGCCAAGGGGAACTGAGGTGATAATTTCCGGCTTATTTTCTATCAGTCATAACCAAATCCTGGTCTGTGAACATTTAGAATTTCAACATGGACAATTTCGTTGGTGAGCTATTAGAAAATAGTGTTATTACACAGGTGAACTCTTTTCTCCCAGGATAGGTAATATACTCACTATTTGGGTGCTGCAGGGGCGCCGAGGACTGAGGGCTGCCTTATAAAATAGCATAACACTGTATGATGGCACAATAGCATGGAGACCGTGAATCGCCAGGAAATAAGTTAACTTTCCAACACTGCCTCCCGGTTAGGTTCTTAAGCCGTGGCGCTGGAGATGGCTGTTGAGGACCCGCCCTTTTTCAAATTTTCCCAGTCTACATGACAGTATCCAGTTTCAATACTACAATCCAAGCTATAGCATCCACGAGAACTGACGCACTCATCAACCCTGGAGCAGTGGCGCGGCAAATAGCACGCGAACTGTGCTGCTCATTTGTAACGGGCCATTGTTGTTAGAGACTGGGATCCACAAACGTTCCTTGACTCTGATATCCGAAATCTGCCGGAATGCAATGTTCATCAGTACCATAATGATGTCTACCGCCTGTCTGAAGGCAGACTCCCAGGCTTGAGCTTTTGAAAAATATGGGTTTTAGAGATCAACCTCCACTCCATTTTCTACCACAACACCACTCCTGCGGACATCATGTGGCTATCGCCCTCACGACCAGTGAGTCATGTTTTGCCTGTGTTGGAACCAGTAAATAACCGCCTAGCGCACGTACGACCGAAGAAGTACCCTACCAAAATCTCTGTTGTTTCCTTGTACACAAAACACCTGCTGACCGGCGCGACAAAGGAACTATTTGCACGCAGCTGTTAGAACTGATTACAGGAACCCATCGCTGCTTGTTTCTGGTAACTTGAATGTTCGGGCTGGGCCAGCCGACTCTTCAAAAAACAACTCAATAAAGCCTTTTGGTTATGGTTCTGAATGCGGCAGCGGTGAAATAAAATTGCGCATTGCTGACCGGAACTGTTTTGCTGTCTCCAACACGTGCTTTCAACATCGCCATGAACATTTAGTGACCTGACATTTAAACGGTGGTCGTGCGATCGCGCATGTGGACTACAAAGTTGCCTCAAGGTTTTGTGGCTAACTGCATGATGGCAGGTCGATGCGTGATGCCGGAACTTTTGAGTACACAATGTGTTCGTTCGCACACACCTGAAACTCCACCTCTTACATGCCCCCTAATTGCCTCCTGCAAGATTCCTTGATGTCTAAAAATTCGGACAGACCAACACAGTGGAACCCCAGAGCACATAAATTCTGACCTTGCCGTACAGCTTGAGTCGAAGGCGTTAGTAAATGTTCATCACTGAGGTCCCCAGTTCGCGAGTCAGGTATGAGGGTGTTTGGGTTCACACCATTTATGTGATGGCCAGATCAGTTGAAGAACCTTCAGTTGTGCTCCGGTTAGCCCTCACAGCAATGATTCCATCACACCGAGTCTGGAAAATGACTACCAAGTTGGCTATAGACGACTGCGGAAACTAGTGGACCACAAGCGTCGATGATAATCGAAGACTCTGTTAACTGGTTCACCAAGTTAGTGGCGGACTCGGTGTGAATGATGGCCTTATTGCCGACAATTCGATCATTCTCAAGCGCTGGGGTGAGCACTTCGACTGTCCTGTCAACTCTGACAGCCAACCTGCAACCACCAACCTTTTTCCCTCTTCCCTGGGGTTGGGGTTCATTCATCTCCAGCCGTCGCAAGGCCGTGTTCTCCACCCCTTCAGAAAAAGTCCCGCTGCAATTCTGAGGTTACACAACGGCGAGGCGTTCGGAAAGGGGAGTATCCCTGTCAAGGCCAACAAGTATTGTGTCAAAACTCTGGCTCTCTGGCTCCATGAAGTGATGGAGTCAACGTGGGAAGATGAGATCGTTCCTATAGACGGGTTCGGTTATCTTAATGTATGTCTTCAAAAAGTGGTTGGGAAAAGTGCGAGGACCATTGCGCAGTATATGCAATTGACGTTGTCGTACAGGTCTTTGCCATTGTTATTCTCGGACTATCTCAGAGCATGCTACTTTAGAACGAGACAACAAGGCCGAGTTCCGTGCTGGACATGGATGAACCGACGAGATATCTACAATGCGACACATTACTGAACTTCTACATGACTACCAGCACCCAATGGCTGTCTGATTTATTTACTTCACTGCAGCTTTTGATGCCATTCGTTGCGAGTCCATGTGGTAGATATTGAGATTAGACGATGCATTGGCCAAAATCGTCACTGCTCAACATTGTGCGAGTTCCGGTCCATTACCGATCGTCAGATAATTGGTCTAGGGTTCAAAAGTGTATCCTATCGCCCATTTCTTCTAACTGCGTCACTCACTGAATTTTCAAGAAGAGTGTACGCGATTTTGACGTCGAATTTCGCCGGGACGCCGACTGTTTGACCGCCACCACGTTTAAGATGCTTTGATAACGAAAGGTTGAAAGGATCTATGGAATGCTGTATTGGGTGAACACAGTTACTAAATCAATCGGTTTATCCATCGACTTTACAAAGGCCAGCATTTTTCCAAGCTGCATCGTCTCGAGATTATTGACCGCAAGCCTGAAGAAGTGAACTGTTCCAGATATATCGGAGCGAAGTTGCTGTCAGGCGGACTGAATAAGGATGATATCACAGCTCGACTGAATGCTGCTCTCGGAGTTTCGCTGTATCTGAAGACATTGGTGGGCCCGACGCGGTATCTCCACCGCCACAAAGACCCACATGCACCGGCCATTTTTCCGATACTTCCTCGTGCACGGTTACTAGTACTGGGCGGCGTGCATGAAAGACTTACGAAAATAGAGGACGTCTGACCATTTTCGACTGAGAGTCATCCTTCGGAGGAAGTGTGCCGACCTCGTCTCCAGTAAGAGACCGTTTTCACTCGTTGCAACGATAGCCTCAGGATATTTCTAGTCATTCAAAAGATGACTGAAGTAGTTTGGTTACGCCCGTTAGATGCTCATCACATGAGTTCAGTGCTGTTGCTCTTGATCTGGCATCGCAGCCCATCTGGAGTGCATAATCTGGCTCAGCACAGTCCTCAGGGATATTGAAGTGCTTCTTGAACACTTGCCATTCGGTCTTGGACGCTGAAGAAGGGGGTTGGAGCTAGCTCTCCACATCCACTTCTGAGGTTGTCCAGCTCAGGCATGCCCGCAGTCATACCAATAGGGAGTACAAATCAGTGGTCAAGGTGGGAGTCCCCTTCACTTGTACATACGAAGATAGGTCTTCCTTAAAAAATGCGAATTTCCCAGAAACATATGGAAAATTGACAAATTAACCCACGAGTGTGTACCACTCATTGCAATGCAGGTCGTTTGCCAAATTTAAACCGCATACCCAATCTCCAGATTTCCAAGTGTGTGCATGTTTCTTACACATTGCCAAGTTTTGTTGTCAATGTTGTAGTCTTTTCTTCCTGTGTCTGCCGTACTTTGAGTCTCGAGTCATTGAACGTTCTCCATTTTTTAGGGTCATCAAAAAGAGGGTTATGGCCTCTCCTGGAATGCCACTCACCACGGTCACTTGCTGTCCGCCTCTGATGATCAAACAATTTGTCTTTGGGACATCTCCGCCACACCGCTTGACTCACGCTGTGTTGATGCGATGGCAATTTTTACTGGACATCATTCAGTAGTTGAGGATGTCGCCTGGCACCTCATTCATGGCCACATCTTCGGTTCGGTGGCGGACGACAATAAGCTCATGATTTGGGACACCCGCAGCTCTTCGCGAAGCAAGGCTCAGCATCAAGTCGATGCACACACCGCTGAGGTCAACTGCCTGGCCTTCAATCCCTTCTCCGAGTTCATTCTCGCCACGGGCAGTGCCGATAAGGTGCGTAATCCGGTTTTTTGTGTCAACTTGAAGGCGGCCCATTTTATGACAGTCTAACCAGAAATCCGTGCTATGCAGTAGGTGACCTATTTCATCGACTGAAATTCTAAATTATGATTTCGGTCAGCGAGGCTTACTTGAGTGGAGTTATAATGTTGATTATCATGCAGCATAATCTCCAGACATTCAAGTCACGCCAGAATATCTACATTCAAATGCGCATCCTTCCGGCCGCCTGCAGAAATTATATTAGCCTAAATGATTACTTAAATAGTGTGAATCTTCCTGGTTTTTGGTACCTTTACAAATCCAAATGTGTTTTTTTTATAGAATTCATGCAAAATACCCTTTTTGTACCCATTTTGCAGAAAATTAATTTAAATGTTCTGCTAGAAGAGAGGGCATCTTTCTGTCCAAGGCAAATCTGCAATCTCGAGAGTACTGTTGCGTTGAATAAAAAAATTTGGAAGAGACGTAGTTTGCTACTAATCAGTACAAGAAGTTGCTGTCGAACGCACAGAATAAGGATGACATCATTGCGATAATGAATGCTGCTCGCAGTTCTGCTATTTCTGAAGCCGTAGGTGGACCCGACGCGGTATCTCAACCGCCACAGAGACCCACTTACTTGTACTTGATACGGCTGCGATCATGCCTGATCTAGCCGGCCTCGATGATATCCCGAACTGTACCTCTCCACGCGTGACGATCCGCGACAGCAGATCTAGACAGCTCAACCCATTCCCTTCGTCAACGACGGAGACCGAATACCGAAGGTCCAAGAACCACCTCCATGTCTTGACGGACAGTGTCGAGCCAGGTTTTGAACTGACCCCCTCTTCGACGCCTCCAATGGGGCAACGGTGCCGGATCGAGGGCAGTAACACTGAGCTCCTGAGGTGGACGACGAAGAACATGCCCGAACCACCTCAGTCGTCTTTCTTGGATGGCCTGAGTTATCCTTGCGATGTTGTCGCAACGAGCGCGGACTGTCTCATTTGAGACGAAGTCGGTGAACTTCACTCGACGGATAATCCTGAAGCAGTGGTGGTCAAATACCTCCAGTTTTCGCTCATCTTCCACGCGCAAAGCCCAGCATTCACAACCTTAGAGAGGGACAAACCGGACAGATGCACGGTACACGCGAATCTTAGTGGCGATAGAGAGGTCACGCCGGTTCCACAGGCATTTCCGAAGGCTTGAAAACCAGCGGGCAGCATCGATTCGGGAAACAATGTCGTCCTTACTCTGTGCATTAGGCAGCAGCCTTGCCCCGAGGTATTTAAAACTGTCCACTTCTTCAAGTTGACAGCCATCAATCCCCAGGGGTGCCTTCCCCTGGTCAGGGATGCAGCTTGAGAATACTTTGGTCTTCCCAGCGTTTATGGACAAACCGACAGAGACCCACGTGCACAGGAAATCTGTCCGATATTTCCTCTTGTACGGTTACTAATACTGGGCGGCGTGCATGAAAAACGTACGAAAATAGAGGGCGTCTGACCATTTTCGGCTGAGAATCATCCTTCGGACGAAGTGCGCCGACCTCGTCTCCAGTGAGAGATCGTTTCCACTCGTCGCAACAACAACCTCAGGATATTTCAGCTCATCCAAAAGACGACTGAAATAGTTTGTTCACGCCGTGCGAGCAGCATTCATCCGAGCTATGATATCATCCTTATTCTGTCCGTCCGGCAGCAACTTCGCTCCGATGTGTTTGGAACAGTTCACTTCTTTATGCTGGCAGTCAATAATCTCGAGGCGATGCAGCTTGGAAAAAATTTGGCCTTTGTAACGTTGATGGATAAACCGGTTGATTTAGTAACTATGTTTACCCAATACTGCATCCTATAGATCCTTGTAACTTCTCGCATAAGAATGTGGATGATGCATTGCTTTATTGATCGGGAACCACCGATATTCATCGACATCATTTCTTTCCACAAAACCGGTGATTTTTGATGTATTTTTTAGACTGTAGCCCTGTGGGACCTTCGAAATCTCCGCTTGAAGCTGCACTCGTTTGAATCTCATCGCGATGAAATATTCCAGGCATGTACCTCTGTTACTCTTCAAATTTTTCCTCGTAAAAGTTTATGGGACCCTCTTCTGTTCAATCTTCACCAGCACATCCCGCTGCAGCGGCCTCTGTTGAAACTGCAAATCGAAAAATAAGACATGTTGGCAGCGACACGCTAACCAACTGCAAATATTTGTCAGGTTATAGTGCCTACTTACAAATTTTGAGTAACCACGTTTTTACACGTCGCTCAGGGCCTCGGGTTTTGTCAATCTAAGGTCAGATTGGGGTGTTTTGCATAGAATAATTGAACGGCTTCAACAGTCTTTCATTATGTCTGCGTATACGTAGTTTTCAATGTTCTAAAGGATAGTTTTTTTTCACAGGTTCAATGGTCACCACATAATGAAACCATTCTTGCCTCTTCTGGTACCGACCGACGGTTGCATATTTGGGATCTCAGCAAGATAGGAGTGGATCAGACTGCAGAGGATGCCGAGGACGGTCCACCAGAACTTCTCTTCATCCACGCCGGCCACACAGCCAAGATATCTGATTTCACTTGGAATATTAATGACCCCTGGACCATATGTTCTGTTTCTGAAGACAATATTTTACAAATCTGGCAGATGGTAAGTCAGCTTGCCTGACTGTCTCTGTGCGATGTGTACATCATTATATCGTCCTGCAGATTTTTGATTTGGAGAGATAAGTGGTCATCGGGGTTTCAGAAGTCTTGCCTGTGGCAGCTGATGTTGTCATATTGGTAGTAAAATAAGGTCGGTTGTTTTGCAGTGAATCATCTACTAGTTCAGAGGTGTAGACCTTTCACGACGGATCTGTCTGTCTGAACTCCGTATTGATACACCTGATAGCACTGAATTTGTTGCACTATGAGGGGCGGAGGTACCCTGGCGATTCTCGTTCAGTGGCGTTGGAGTCAACCTGTTACACGGCTCTGAATAGAAGAACAGATTGCCCTTCTTAATTTCCTCAGAAACTAAGTCGCGGACTTGACGCAAATCCTGTGGAAAAAAGCTTTTTATGGTGGAGGGGCGCCATGTAATATTCACAAGCTGCCAGCAGGGAATCAGTAGTATACAAATACTTAATGATTTTCTATACTAACGGGACAGATACATGCGTGTTTAAGTGACCTTGTCCGGCTAAATGACGCGGCTGCGAGTGGGTTGGCTCGTCAGTGCGTCCTCTAGCCCCCCATGTGCCTTCTGCTATGTGAACTCCGGTTTCCATGCTGTCCTTTTTATTTTCCTCGGATCAGCGAAACACACGTACAGTACGTAAACTATTTCATAAAACTTGGTGACAGAATCTGATGTGAGAATTTAGGACGTTACGCATTTGCTTGTCCGCTCAGCCTCCTTTAGGAAATGTCCTCGTCTTGTGCAGAAATTGTGTCCACGTATTTTTTTCGGGCAAAATGTTCATAAATTTGGTCAAAAATGGACGTCGCGTTATACTCGGGCAATTTCCTACGTAAATACCTGCTCTGGACTTCGGTTGCCCATCTGAGCGGGTTTTTCCTTGGAAGGAGAGTAATTTCCTGCAGAGAGTTTTAATAGACAGAGGTTGCCGGACTTGAACATTAATTTTTTGTCCGATGGTAACCGTGGTAATCAACTTCACAAAACAAAGGTTATTTCAAGAAAACCAGGTGTTTTGTGGATTTACAGAATTCAGACTAGCAGATCAGTGCGATTTTGTACCCTAAAGTGAACTAATAACGCACACCGGCAATCCTTCATTTAAATGGGCTAAAATTGTTTTGCCGTTTGGAAAATCCTACGTGTTGTCACAGGAACGACCGCCACCAAACTGTCATTTTCAGCTCTGAACATATTAAATAATACTTTTTGTGCGGTCTAGCTTCCGCACACACCTAATTCAGAAAGGGAACGAACAAAACGTTAACATCTGCCATACATTCATAATCGTAGGAAGAAGTCTAAAGTTGAGCAAAAACAATTAAAATAGCCGCAATGTAAGGAAAAAGACATGTTTTTTCGTTTTCGGTCGAAAAATGTAAGTATCTTTTAGCAAAGTGAAAGAAACGGCCGAAAGTGTCAAATTTTCTCTTGGTCTCATTCTGTAAAAAATTAGAGTACTCAGACATCCGTCAACGGATTGCAGTATCAAAGCACTCCTTATAGAGATAATTTATTAAAGAAAGTTTTCTAATTAATCTAAGGCATATTCGTTGTTGACTTTTGTTGCGGACGTCATTTTCATTCGACGATGAGGGTTCCTGTTTTCGTGAGCCTTCAAATGTGACCCAGATGACGTTCTAAATGAAAAAGAAAGTCCGAGCACTCGCTACTTCGGTAAATGCCCCCAGAAAGTGCCTTTTTTAAAGTTTTTAACAGACACATAATACAGAATCAGTCCTTATGGGCGATCGGATGTAAACACCGAAAATCGTGAAATATTCATCGATAATTCTAGGCTGATCTGAAACTCAACGTAATTCTGAACTAACAAGAAGCGCAAATTAATTTAACTAAAGAAAAAGTTCTTTTTATAAACACAAAATTTCATGCTTACGATTACACATGTCAATTCTATTTAAAATTATTTGACACTGGTCGGAACGGAAACATTTGACCTTATGAAAACTTTTGTTCCTATGATGTACCTGTCGGCAAAATCAAGCGAAATCTTGATTTTCTTATTGAACCGCATCTCATTTAATTCAAAAGACTAAAGGATACCACGAATCCTCGGGAAACTGTTTTTAAATCTATACTCAGATTGTAGGCTGTTGGCAAAGCACCATACCTTGAATTACACTAATTCCTAAAGAATATTTAAATGTAAACTTCATTAAAACATTATTTTTAACTGCTATTCTATTTGTGCTTTCATATTCACTCAGTTTTTTCCATGGGCGGACGTTTTGAAAATTTGAAAATGAAGTTTGCTAAATCGCAACCATTTTGACCTTTTCGGGATTTTGCGTTTACTAAAAAAGTGGCATTTCCAAACAACGCAACATTGCATTTATTATTTATTTCATGCTTTTAATTCTCCTAAAGTTGTGCATTATTGACATGGTTATTGGGTCCACGGATTGGTGTCGGTTTGCGACGGATTAGCAGTTATTCGTAAATTTCGACACATTTCATGAGTTAGGTCACCCAGTGTGCGTGTGCTTTAAGCTAGTACCTGTGCTGTCAGTATGGTAATTCATTCAGTAAGAACAGATTATATGAACGTAGTCGTAAAAGGTGACGACTTACAACTCCCATGATCCCCTGATCGTCGGTTCAACGTCGACTTCAGTGAACTCTCCAAGATACATTGGTTTTGTTTCTTTTTAAACGCATGACGTTGGGTGACTTAGCCCTTGTGAGTAGCACTACGGGCCTGGAGTCACACCAGACCATTTGATTTTGTACATGACTGCTATTCGGCACGCTCAGATTGCAGTTAATTTTGAAGCTCATAGGGCATTGACTGAAGACTGAAAATAAAGGCTTCGGCGGAAGGGGTTATTTTTATGAGACTGCAGTTTCGATTGCTAGGATGTTGGCTCTTGGATGGACAATTTTTAAGCCGCCTGCAGAAATCACACTCGCTGAAGACGATTTCTCAAGTAGCGCATATTTTTTTCATTGATTTTTGACGCCTGTATAAACCCAATCATATTTTATTTAAGAAACTAACATAAAATTAACTCTTCTCCTTCAGTTTGCAAAAGACTCCGTGAAGAAAGGGTGCTTCTCGCTCTTGATTTTCTTATCAATTTGCATTTTTTAACCACAAACCGTCACTACACTTACATTAAGAGCCTCCAGCTTACACACCGTATATTTGGTCCAAGCAAAAACACATGTCTCTTTATGCCGTACGCAGTAGGTCGCCCATTGCTCATAGAATTTTCTGGCAAATGTGTTTCATGAGGCATTTCTCAGAAGTGTTTCCCTAACTAACGTGTGCATACCTCGTTATTTACATAGTCGCGCAGGTGCTGTTACTCACATAATCATGTCAACCCCTCAATATTCCTCGTGGTTTGAAAATTTATGAAATGCTCATACACTCCCCAAGCGCAAAATTGAAGCAAAGCTTAATTCCCTGCAAAATAAAAACAAACATGGACTTTCTGTGCTTCCCTTCAAAATGTGATTGAGTTCGATGCCAATAAAGAGGTGCTGCATCCAGGTGCTAATTTCTAAGAAGTATAGTTTTTACTCTTGATTTCTGGTTCTAGAGCCGGTACATAGGTACTGCACGCAGCGGCAGCGGCCGCTACTGAGTCTTCCAATCAAAAAATAAGACCTGTTGGCTGCGACACACTAACCGACCTCAAGTGTTTGTCAGAATTAAGTGCCTACTTACAAGTTTTAAATAACCACGTTTTTACACAGCCGGGTTATCCCATCATTATCCCGCCTCTGAAACCACGACTCCGAGCTTGTCAGATTGGACGAAATTAGCGGTTTCTTCGGAAGAAATGTTTTTCTGTGCATTGGTAGACAACTTTGTCAACTTCAACCCTGCAGTTATGATGACGCACACGATTGCACTTTTAGTCAAGAGTTTTGGTGCATGCAAAGCCTTTCCGTCCATCTGCCATGCGCAGACGTTTGTTTGGTGACGTCAGCCACTGCGCCAGGCGCCCTGACTTCGTCCTGTCAGTGGCACATCGTGTAGCAGTGAAACAGCTGAAACGCAGAATTTGAGCGGATCAGCACTGTGCTGTCAGGACAGTTGGTCTAGTTGGGCTAGTTATCTGGTTAGTGGTGCTTCTCTGATGGTGTGAAAGTCGGATCGACCATCACCAACGACGATGTCTACCATGGGCCTCACAGCGGCGTGGATGCAGAACGGCGTGGACTTCTGCGTGAATTATTTTATAATGATAATAGGCTTTGGAAAGGGGCGCTCACCAATCGTTGTCACGGAACTCACTCGTTCTGTTGTGCCTTACGGGCTCCCTCTCTCTCGAGCCCAACCAGCAGCCGCACAGCTGCGCATGATATAGGCAGTATGTTATTACCGGCAAAGACAAGGGAGACTGGAATGGCTATTTCTGGCTTATTAGCCGTCGCTAGCCAGTTATACCCAACCCCAAAGTGTGGAACACCCGAGGCTCGAACTCGCGACCTGTTAGTTAGAAGTCCACGCCGCTGTGCCACTACTGGCTGGACTCGAGAGAGAGACCGTAAGGCACAATGGAACGAGTGAGTTCCGTAACAACGATCGGTGAGCACCCCCTTCCATTGTGTATTCCCGATCAAAACCGACAGGTCAACGGGCTCGTGGCCCAGTGGTTAGAGGCGTGGACTTCTAACTAACAGGTCGCGAGTTCGAGCCTCGGGTGTTGCACACTTCGGAGGGGGGAGAGGGTTGGCTGATGACGGCTAATAAGCCGGAAATGGCCATTCCAGTCCCCCTTGCCTTTTTCGGTAATAACATACTGATAATAGGCTTGCACAGCGTCTGCCGCACTTCCTTCTCCCCCCCACATTCCTGAGCCCGGTGTCTATACAGAGTCAAGAATACCGGAGGCGGGATCGGAAGCAGCAACTGACAAGGCCGAACAGCTGGTCCGCCCACGATGGATCAGATTTCCACAGAAACCAGACAGGGGACGGCTTGGAGCTCGACTAATTGGGGAGTGCCATGAAAGCCAAATTAGGAAGGCGCCTGACTCCTTCCGGAGAGGGCTAAGTTATCCTGCCAGCTGACAGTCCTCCATGGTACGACCTTTAACGCATCGTGATTGTTTAAGAACTCGTCAGTTTGTTTATAGTGAGAGAATGCGCCGGGGTGCTGTGTAGACGGAGTCCCCCAGAGTCGACCTCACTCCATTCCTTCTCTCATACTTCATTTCATTGTTTGAACCAGTCAGCCATCTGGTGCTGCCTTCTGTGGTACACTTACACCAACTGCATATACTTTTAGGGTTAGGGAGTGCAGTATTCAGTCATTTTGCCATCATGTCTTTTTTTCTGAAAACGCTAAGAATATTTGCTGCGAACTGTCCACCGCCAACAGCCGCCAAACTTTCACTGCATTGCTGCTCAAGCTTCCTTTGGTCTTACAGATTCCTTATTTTCTCGCCTGCAAAACTTTCCTACGACAAGACTATTGTCACGGGTTGGTCCTTAGAGTAGCCTTTTTGGTGAAACCCGGGTAGCCAGCCTATTTTTTTGAGCTGGAAAAAGAAAGAAATCTTGTCCAATATCAGGCCCGGTGGGGCGATGACACTGCCCTGAGGACACAGCGGTGTGTTGTGTGTGTGAATCGCACTGCAGTTAGACAGACTTACGCAGCATCTGCCCTACCCACTTCTTCTTCCTACACTTACCGTGTTCCAATGGTAAGATAGGGTCAAGATGGTGGAAACTAGTTGCAGGCGCATTGACAGACGAGACCAAATCTGCGTCTGAGCGTATCACAGACACGTGTTAGTACTTAGCTTCATACAGGCCAGTCTCCCACAAGGGAGCTCGTATCTTACGTGTCTCAAAGCGCCATGAAGGCTCTATTAATAAGGGACCTTGCCCATTGGGTTATCCTATAACTTGCCAACCTCTGAAACCATGACTCTTAGCTTGCCAGATTGGACGAAGCTAACAGTTTCTTCGGAATAAATATTTTCCTGAGAACTTCAACCTTGCAGTGATGATGGTGCACAGGCTTGCACTTTTAAGCACGAGTTTGGATGCATGCAAGGTCATCCCCTCCATCTGTCTTGCCTTCCCTGTCCCCTCCATTCCGTGATATTTTTGACTAGAAAGCCGTCTTGTCCTCTGTCCTTATCCGGCCCATTTAAACAACCTCACTTTGATGGCTACCCTTAAGCTCCAATTCTGTTGACCCTATCAATCATTTACCCGGATGACAGTGGGAGACAATACGACTACTGTAGCAGCCAGTTTTAGGGGCGTGATTGCGTGCAAGACCATAGAGCTCAAATCGAACTGGAAATGCCTTAATTCGAGGTAAACACCACGCTGCGGATGAACTATATGTTTCAGCAGAAAAATAACAGTTACTGTTAAGAATGTAATCTTGCAACTTTTTAAAATTCGACTTAGGTAGTTTAACCAAAGGGCAACGGTATAGAGGAGAACCCCATTTAACTGTCAGTGGACTGTGGATCGTGTCATATGGGGTTTTATCTTGGCATACCTTTGCAGGCTGTTGCAGAAATTACACTGCCAACAACGATTACTTCCCACGAACTCCTACCTTAACCCGTTATTTTGTGAAATTTGCCTTTTGTTTATTGTTTCATTACTACTCCCATTTCCATCGTCGTACAATAGCGTAGGATAAGACTTTCGGCATAAATTCAGGTAATTTCTGTGTTTTCTTTCATTTTGTCAGCTTTCTATCTAGCGTGCTGCCCCACCCATAAAACTCCCTTTACCATAAATCACGTATGGCACGATCCACAGTCTACTGACAGTTAAGTGGGATCCTTCTCTATTTCGTTGCCAACCAAAATACTCAGTAATACTTGCATGAAAATCGACAATGACGGCTTCTGACATGAACTCCTTACTATTGGCAGTCAGTAGCCCCTGTGAGCTCTTTTACTCAGTGTCGTTCGTTTGAAAGAAGGGGGCTTGATCAACGGATCGGTAGATTTATCCGTCTAAAGTTTTCAATTCTGCAAACTGACGAGATAACCCAACCCTCCCCTCAGTACGGAGCGTCAGGCTGCAATGGTTCCTCCAAAAGGGGGCCTCTATGGCCCTACCACTCAGTTGGGCTCCGAAACGCTCCTGGTCCTTTGTGTGTGTGTGTGTGGACCAGTGCGCGTGGTGGCACGCCTAGGTGTGCGTGACCGATCTCATGAAATGTTGGCTGAAATTCTGAAATACGTTTTCGATTAGGAAGGATTACTCAAGTGGTATTGCAAGATTGATTAACATGCGGCATAATCCTATAGTATTTCGGACTCGCCAGGATGTCGGTTTTTGAATGAACTTCATTTTGACCTGCCGTAGAAAGCGTACTCGGGAAAAAAAATGACCACTTGAGTAGCATGCAATTTTCACAATGATTTTCGATGATCTTATAAATTGAAATATATTTTATAGAAAACGCGCACCGAGGTATGCTTTCTTTCACTCTTTTGATAGAGAATCACGTCGTCTGTACATTGCATACCCTAAGAAAGTGTATACTCAGGTTCTGAAAAAGTTCCCTAATTCCTGAGTATTTTTGGGTCTGAACAGCCGTAGCATCGGCGCTTAGCAATTTTAGTCTACAAGGTGTATGCTTTCCGCCTAAGGAAAATCATATACTCCTGTATGTCTTTTAGGAGATACCATATAGAGTTCATAAATTTTGAAATGGATGCGGACTATGTTGTACATCTCATGAGAAGCAGTGGCAGGTACGATGCTGTATGAGTGGACATTTCACGGTCTTAAAAAACCTCATAATTAGAAACTTCAATAAAACCTAATTATACTCCTTATTCGAGTATAAAATATGAAGATGGCGTGATTATCTATCAAAAGAGTGAAAGAAAGCATACCTCTCTGCATGTTTTCTATAAAATATATTTCAATTTATAAGATCATCGAAAATCAATGTGAAAATTGCATGATACGTAAGCAGTCCTTTTTTCCCGAGTACGCTTTCTACAGGCGATCGAAAAGAAGTGCATTCTAAGGCCGACATCCTGGCGAGTCCGAAATATTATAGGATTATGCCGCATGCTAACCAATCTTACAATACCACTTAAGTAATCCTTCTAATCGAAAACGTATTTCAGAATTTCAGCCAACATTTCATGAGATCGGTCACGCACTGTAGGTGTGCGGGCTCACGTTATGCCAGCCACCTGCGCCCAATCCCGCCTGTGGTCTTCCTACCTCTGTCTTGATACCAGGTCCGGTAGGGTGAGGAAGAGAGAGGATGCGACAGTCGCTGCGCAAGTCTATCATCCCCGTAAACTGATTCACGCTCTAGTCACCGTCCTTGCACACACCCACCCTGCTGTGGGCCGCACGGTGGACATCGCTGGAACCGACGTCCGGACTGTCATGCTAAAGGGCCGGCACCACTCCGTGCACTATTCCAACGCGCATCTCTGGAGAGCAGGGGACTAGATGAAACTGTTCTTTAGGGTGATCTACGAAGGCGCCTTCATTTGGGGGATGTGCTGACAGCAAAACAACATGGCGACTTACAGGACTGTTTGTTTGGTGGCTCCTGGTGTTTTTCTTGCGTCCAGTCATGCCTGAGAGTACTTGTGATAGTGGTAGCAGCTACTTTTGTAGGCTCGTGGGCCAAGCTCTAGTGGTGCCCAGTCAGCATTTGCCGAGGGGTGGTGTCCCAGTGGCTTGTTTTGCTGGTTGCAGGGGGTGGCGCGTTCAAGTGGCGCATGGGTAGCCGCGACACTGTGTGGACGCAATTGTGCCCTAGCTGAAGTCAGTCTAGTGGCTTCAGGTCAGCTCGTCTGGGAGGGCTCGCGCAAGGGGTGAATGACCTTGAGGCGGCGAGGTCTTGAACAATGACACCGGACCAGTCATGATGGCTACCCGCTACAAGTCATCACCAACGAGCCACATCGATCCCCGGCCCTTGCATCTCGTACGGTTTGAAAACGCGCCTGCTCGGGCCTCAGGTGTTGTAAAACCTGGAGTTGAGTATAGCTGGCTGATAACGGCCAATAGGCCGGAATTGGCCGTCCCCATCTATCTTATCCTTGTTGTTAATATCATTCCATCCGATCGAAAACCGACAGGGCAACGGGCTCGTGGCCCAGTGGTTAGAGGCGTGGACTTCTAACTAACAGGTCGCGAGTTCGAGCCTCGGGTGTTCCACACTTCGGGGCTGGGCATGACTGGCTGACGACGGCTAGTAAGCCAGAAATGGCCATTCCAGCCTCCCTTGTCTTTGTCGGTAATACGCCTTCTGCCTATATCACGCGCCGCTGTGCGGCTGCTGGTTAGGCTCGAGATGGAGCCCGTAAGGCACAACGGAACGAGTGAGTTCCGTAAGAACGATCGCTAAGCGCCCCCTACCACTTACAGGACTGTTTGTTTAGTGGCTCTTTGGCTTATTTCGAGACAGGGTTTTCTTACCGCCGAGAATAGTTTGGAAACCGTAGGTTTCGCAAGAAAAGATGATTACTATGCCGGCCGGAGCGCACTTGTATCTGCCACACGAGTCCTTAATATCTTCTCGTTGGTGACTCGTTTACCTGTACCTAATAGGGCAATCAGAAAATGTACGATGTTTACGTGGCCCCGAAGAAGTTTATTTCTTTAGTTTTGACTCATGGTGTTGACCGAGTAAAACTGCAGAAGTCTTTCAAGCCTTCAGTAACCGCTGCACGTAGTAATTCTCTTCGCCTCATTGGATCAGTTCCGAAGACCGTAATCTTATTCATGAAACTAGAGAACTGTAATTATTTCTGACGGCACAAGGAATATGACCTCAGCACATAATCCACTTTGAAATCCACTGCCCTCATGTTCGATCGGTTTCGTCGATTAGTTGTGGTAATTAGCAACGTCTCCGAGCATTTGTGAACTACATCTTACTGGCTGTTGCACTGCATTGTTATGAACCAAATATTTTGATGCTATCCTGCAGGAAACAGTACTCAGGTCCGTTTAAACATCCACTTGTCAAGAGAAGCTTTTGAATCCTGCTTATTCAGTTTCGAATGTGAACACATGATGTAGGTGGTCAGTCTCATGAAATGCTCGCCCAAGACTCTTAGATGTGCTTCCAATTAGAAAGAATTACTTAGGTGGGGTTGTAGTCATTGATTATCGTTCAGTATAAATTCGCAACGTTTCAGTCACGCCAGGGTGCCGATAGCCCATCGGTGACCGAGTATTCCTGTGCGATGGCGGAATGCGCATAGGCAGTGCGGGCAGTTGAGGAGACGACGACCGATGTATGTTCCTGTCCCAGACACCGGTTGGCCACAGCCTCTGTGCAGTGGGTTCGTAAGTGACCGAGTGACTTGCTTACTGAGTCAGCTGCGGTGTTACTGCTGATGGTGGTGGCGCCGCGCTGGTGGATGGGTATTTGACAGTGCTGGAGATGGGGGAGTTGTCGGCTGTGCTTGATGCGTGAGTATTGCAGTGAATTCCACTGTCGCGGATACCTATGTGACCGAATAGGTCCATGCAGTCCTGTCGATCTCACCTCCGAGCAAGAACGTAGTCCAGCATCTGGCAGCGCCGCGATGGTGAGTGCATCCAGGTCGACCTCTTCCACGTGGTAAGACGGAAGAAAATGTTGGTCAGGCGAACGCGTGTTCTGCGCAGGCTCACAGAAGGAGGGGGCCGTTATCGTCGCAGCTGATAAGACCGCGGGGGTCCAGAGTACCCCCTCCCAGACAGAATGGTTTGTCCTGACGCAGGCATTAAATTAACCAAGGACAACCAGCTTGTCCGCTTTCGACACAGAGTTGCCAGGAGGGCGGGCAGGTCCTCGCAAAATTCGTTCTTTGCCTTGTCGGAGTTGGTTGTTGGGAGGACGTCGGCGCTGATGATGATGATGATGATGGTGGCGAATTTGTCTCCCCAACGTTGCGTCGTTCTGTCTTTGAGCAGCTGCTGCTGCAGAAGAAGGTGTAGCCTGCACCCACCTCCATTTAGCCTTTTTTCGGAAAAGCGGGTCTCGCTGAGGGCAGCGATGTCAAGCGCGCCACCTCTCGAGTGACTAGCGCCCATCCTACAGTGCAGGTTTTCCGGAGCCTCTTTGAATTAGTCCTTTTATACTCCTGTAGGCAAACACGTACAGTGCCTGACCGATCTCATGAAATGTTGTCCGAAATTCTGAAATATGTTTCCGATTAGGAAGGATTACTTAGGTGGGGTTGTAATATTGATTAGCATGCAGCATAATCCTATAGCTTATCGGACTCAGCAGGATGTCGGCTTTTGGATGCACTCCTTTCTGACCTTCTGCAGAAACCGCGATCTGCAAAAAATGACCACCTTAGTAGCATGCATTTTTCGTATTGCTTTTCGATGGCCTTGCAAATTCAAATATATTTTATAGAAAGCGTGAACGAAATATACCTTCTTTTGCTCGTTCGGTAGAAAATCACACTGTCTTCATATTGTATACCTGAAGAAGGTGTAAGCCGGTAGGTTCATTATTACGCTTGACCAAGGTGGTAGACAGGCGGCTGCATGGTATGCGTTAGTTGGGTTGCCCTGTGTCTGCTAAACTTGCTCACTGTTGACATACTTACAGGTGGCAAGCCCTTGTAGCGGCACAGCAGAGATATTATGTGCAGCATGTGAGCTACAATCGTCAGGCCAAATTCCATGTTTGAAGGGAGAAGACAAAGGGGACCAGAATAAGGGGTTTATTGTGCACAGAACCCGGAGTTGTCCTCTCAGGCGACAGTGGCCACTGACGAAGCCAGGGCTGTTGTTGACTGCCTCCAGTCAGGCCTGAGAGTCCCTGAGACAGTGGTGGCAACCGCTTTTGTAGGCTCGTGGGCCAAGCTCAATTGGTGCCCAGTCAGCGTGCGTTGCATTTGCCGAGGGGTGGTGTCCCAGTGGCTTGTTTTGCTGGTTGCAGGGGGTGGCACGTTCAAGTGGCCGCATGGGCAGCTGCGACTGCGTGGACGCAGGTATGCCCGAGCTGTTGGTCGTGTGACTTCAGGTCAGCTCGTCTGGGACGGCTCGCTGCAAGGGATGAATGATCTTGAGGCAGCGAGGTCTGGAACAATGACGCCAGAACGGTCATGATGTCTGGATGTTACACCCTAAACGTAGGCCCACGCCATGCCAGCCGCTGCGCCCATTCTTATCGTCAGTCAAACGTCAGACTCGGACGGGCCACTGGTACAGTAGGTAGGCTAACTCGTGAAATGTCAACCGAAATTCCGACATACGTTTTCGTTTCGAAAAGATTCATTAAGCAGGATTGTAAAACTAATCAGCCTGCAACATAATTCTATAATATTTCAGTTTCCTCAGAATGCCGACTTTCGAATGAACTTCCTTCTGTCTGCATGCAAAGAATACACTCTGTAAACATTGACTACATATGTAGCATGAATTTTTCTCATTGATTTTCGATGTCTTTAAATGTCCAATTATATTTCATAGAAAGCATGCATTAAAATATTTTATCTTTTGCACATTCGGTATATAATTACGTCTTCTTCTAATTTGATGCCCGAAGGAGGGACATAGTTCGGTCTTAATTAACTGCCTAATTGTAGGACTTTGAAATACCGTGTAATGGTTGTTCATAAATCGTCATGCCTCTGCATTTACCACTGTGGCTCGAAAAGTTAACACTATGAATCAAATCCATCGCTACATTTAAAAACCCTATATAGTCCCCCTATATTACCGTAGAGAAATTTGTGGTTTTCCGTACGCGGAAATTATACAGTTTGTAGCCTGGAAATTCTGAATGTAAGTGTAATTGTAGAGCGGGTTCAAAATTATTCGGGAACTCGAAACGCTTTCGAACTCCAAATTATACCCTTCCTTCGAGTATAAGATTTGAAGTAGACTATTGTTCTACCGAAGGAGTGAAAGAATGAATTTTTTTGTGTATCTTTTCTATGAAATATAATTGGAATTTTAGAGGCATCGAAAACAAATGAGAAAAATGCATGCTAAATAAGTAGTCATTTTTTACACAGTGTAGTTTCTGCATACAGTCGGAAGGAAGTTATTTCGAAAGCCGGCATCCTGGAATATTATAGAGTTATATTGCAGGCTGATTAGTTGTACAACCCAACTTAATTAATCTTTTCGAAACGAAAACGCATTTCGGAATTTCTGTTGACAGTTCATAAGTTAGCCCACCTACTGTATGGTTTTTCTGTCTGTTTGTGGGATAATGGCAAGTGTGTTGGCTTCCTCACGCGATTTGTGAATTTGTTCCGCACCGTATGAAGGGCCAGGCCAAATTTGCTGCAATAGGCAAATTGTGCCTTTAGCACTTTACACATCCTTATTTTAGTCGAGCGAATGGACAGAATTGATGTTTGATATGAACCTCGGATGAATGCCAGACAAGAAGCCTGTAGTGCATGCAAAGGAGAATGACGAAAACTTCTTTCCTCTGCACTTAAGCATATTAGTCAACGTAGTGTGGTCGCACAGGTTGTCGGCAACGCCCACATGATTAATTGCTTCCTAAGACCTATTTTTGCATGGACTCTGGCGAACACATTTTAGTCAGCAGATGTCTCTCGAAGCGGTTGTGATACAATTACAGCGGCAAAAGGTTCCCTCGTGAGATCTTGCAAACCCTCACTTGATTCCATTCTCGGAGACAGTCTTAGACGGCGCAGAGGTATGCATTATCCGCAGTCTGTTCGGGAGGTGCTCATCCCTTCGGCGTCGTGTACCTATAGGCACATTCAGTTTCCGCCTAGATGTCTAATAATGTTTTACTGCAATGTGTTTTATTCAAGTTTATTGTGCTTGTATGTAGAAGGCGGGCTTCTAGGTCTCGTGGAGCATATCACTTTTTTGATTGACTCTCTAAGCGTGAAGAATGAACTCAGCGGCCTTACCTTTTATCTGAAACGCCGTCGGTAATGCGATCAACGATAAAAGCCTGAAGGGGTCGCACGTCAACCGAAAATCGCGGCATTAGGAACAAAGGGCACTCTCCGAAGTAAAAGTTATTCCTCTACGCCGCCACCCCAACAGACCAGCTCTAGGGCATTCTTATGGAAAGGCTCGGTTCAGAGAAGTTCTTTTCTTTGCAGTTAGTAAATGATGTTCTCGAGTGGTTTGTTGGCGGCGCGACTTTGTAACACTTAGCTTGAGTGCTTGTTTATTGTTGCTCAGATAATGCAACAAACGTTGCTGGAAAAGGTGTCGCTGGAAGCCGAGCCAGGAGTAGTTGTACTCACTGCAGCTACTAAGCTCGGATTAATGTTCACGCTTATTCTTATGCAGTCAGTAATCCAGTAGTAAATTTTATCTGCCTGATGAAGCGAAAATACGTACATATTTGAACAGGACTGAAAATCCGACGGCTAGAGCCAAAAGCCAACTTTCCTCTGATTCTGAAAAAACAGGTGCACCTGTTAAATGGCTAGTTATTCGTTGTGTGTCATTTGTTTTATATGCCTTTAGGCTCTTACGTTAGTAATTTGCAGAATGCTATTCAAGTGCGAGGTAGTTTGGACAATCGAAGAAGATCCTGGATGGTCGATATGGGAATTCAGCACATTTTAATGAATGACGTTTGATATTTACTAGGAAAAATATGCAAATTTATTCAACGAAAACACAAGCTGCCCATCAATGATTATCGATCATTTTCACGACTGCCCATCAACTGACCCTCCATGTTGCTTTCCATTCCCTTGATTTACACGAATCCCTGTGCCTTAACTTTATCTTCTCAAACGCACTTTTCTCAGTGCCTTTTTTCATAATTTGTCCCACCTGTGTTAATGTTGATTTTCTGGAGGCATCTTATCCTGTGTGTAGACTATTCCTTAGCCTTGCTGTACGGTGACAAGCAGGAAGTGATCAGCATTTGTAAATGTTTGTGGACGGGGCTTGGTCTTGAAGTCGCACTTTATTTAAATTAAAATAATCTTAATAGGTATGATTTCGTTGACTTTACTTATAACACTTGTTTGCGCCTTCCTTACTGTTTTAATCCAACGAGTATCTGTGCCTCGGGGAGATGTTTATACGCCAGCCTCGGTTACATCAAGTATCAATTTACACGCGCTTCCCTGCGCGTGCTTCGAGCCCTGCTTGCGCCTACTTTACTTTTTTAGTTCAGGGAGTGACTAAGTTGGCTTGCTAAGAAAATTTTCCGGACGGTGTGGAAATCCAACGCTTCCCCTAAAGTGGCCATACGCTGCAGATTAAGAGGCGGTTCCCTTCATGACCTTTCAGTTATTTATTGGTACCAAAAAATTTCGCGACGGCTCTTCAGCTGCGTCCTGTCGCTTCATAAGAGAGAAAAGGAGTGAGAAGAATACAACAGATTTAAATTCGTGCAGAAAATCAATGCAGAACAGCAAGGTCAGGGTTTTGGGCAAAGCTGGCTAATCGATAAAGCTAGTAACACAAACACCGTAGGGGAAGAAAGTGAAAAAGGGGAACGTTAAAGAGCAAAAATGAGAGGAAAGAGGGGGAATCATGGAGCTAGAGACCACCATGGCAATGTTAGGTTAACCACGTGCTCCAATTGTTTACAAAGATCTGGTTTCACTCGTCGTATATAGGCCGCTCATTCACCATCTTCTTGATAGCCACGAAGTGCTTATTCGTTAGACCTACAGGAAGTGGTGCATATGCCTCCTTGTCACTGCAGATTTGGTTTCTAATAAGGATAAAGTGCGGCAGAGATCTCATTGACTGACGTACATTCGAAAACTTCCTGAAGTAATCTCCCGAAAATTAAAAGGCTTCGGCATCTCGATCGCTCACAGGCCTCCTCCATACGCGCAACATTATGCCAGGTAAAGGACGCGGTACCTAAATAACAAGTAAATAGCATCGTGTACCGCATCCTGTGCGCCAACTGCCTTTGTGTAGATATTGGCGATAAGGGCCGACGTCTGGTGACTTGCGTTAACGAACATATGCTAGCCATCCTCCGATGTGACCCTCTGCCTCTCTTGTTTGCCCATACCCTTGAGTATGGTCACCGGCTCACTTAGGACGGTACTGAATTCTTCGCAATGACTAACACCAGACGGGCTCGAGAATTCCTCGAAGCTTGACATTTAAACGCCGCCACCACCACCACCACCACCACCACCACCACCACCACCACCACCAACCGCCATGTCGCTTTAGACGCTCATTATGGGGGTTTATGCACACGGTCACTGACTTGTTCCCACAACCTAACAACTACTACTTCCTATTCGGCCACGTAGAATTTCACTATCTTGCCACCTCTCCCACTCCATTCGACACGGCGAAGCACAACCGAAACTCCTAACATCTTCAACGCCGGCGTACTGACCCCTGACCTCATCCCGCATCAATAACAAACCGCGGCCGTTTCCACGGATCCACAATTCTTCCGCTCCACCTTCTCTCACGTCAAACGATTTGAACAGAGCTTGCTAGACTATTGGAATAAAGGTTATGGATTGGACAAGACAGTTAAACATTTTCCAGAAAAGAGTGCTTAACTGTCAAGAGTAAATCGTCGTTCTGGCCTTTCTCTGTCGTGCTTAGGTACAGGAGTTAATGGCTTACTCAAATTGTCGATTCTATTTCACACATTTTCAGATCTCGAGGGGATGCTAAGCAAGGTGGTCTGCGCGATGTTTGCAGTTCGCGCGTTGAACTTAAATATGCACATCTTACAAATTCTTCCAATAGGTACAGTGTTATGAACGAAATTATTTTGTTGTTCATGAGAAATGTGAAGTTCATGAAGCTATGCCTGCCAGTGGCGCAAAATAAAAGTGAAGTTAGCGAAACTGCTTTTTAAATTCGCTTCCATACACGGCTTTCTCACTAGGTTTGTGTGTAACAAGGTAATCAGTTACAAACGTGGTTAGTTATATTGATTGAATGCGGATGTTATAACCGAAATAGACGATCAAAGTAGCTGTGTGCTAAGGAGCAATTAGATAAACGCTACTTTGTTTTACGGCACCTGGGGCAAAAGTGGCATAAACTGTCCTTCAGGGTAGTAACATCTTATTTTAATTTGAAGCTCCGATTCGACGTCTGAGTAGACGGTCACAGCGAGCAAAAGGTGACGTCGGGGCTAAACTTACGGAACCTGCACTCCAACCGCCCCGTGGCTCGATCTGTCTGATGACTCAGATATGACCAGGCCTGCTAGGAAAGGCAGTCATAATTATGCTTTTTAGAAACTATATAATATCACATAAGCTCATTGTTTAAGTCGATAAAAAGACAGCAATCCACAGCCGAGGAACAGCATCTGCAATCCGTAGATGACATACCTCTGAGGTATTTCTGCTAATAGCGCTGGATTATTCGTTTGAGTCTGTTCACTGACATGCCTGTAGTGGAGTCCCAAATAGGACGAAGGCAGCAACATTGCTTCCTAAAGAATAACGTGTACGTCTATAAAAAAACCTTCTAGAAATAAGAGATCGACATACCTAGAGACCGTCATTCTGGAGTTTTCGACGTTTAAATTCCCATGCAGGTTTTTAGGTTTTACCGAAGTCTTCATAAACCTTGATTTCGGCCCAAAGATTTTCAGACACGCGAGTTCGATGAACGCTAGGCATAGTGGTCAGCGTACTTTGTTGAATTATCTTAAATGGATTCGCTCATTACGCCCACACACACTTAGCTTGTGACGGATTCTTCGCATCATGTGATTTGGCTTAATGCTTTTTGGTAGCATGGTCTATTTTTATGCAATTTTCATTTGTTTCCTCTTCATCAATGACTATAACAAACTTTCCTAAGAAGCTTAATGCGTATCGTTCACTTTTCCGAGGGGGCTCAGTAAAGACAACTTTTTATCGATCGGAAGAAGGTTCGATAGAAGTTTGGGAAGGATATTTTTAGCTGTAGTCAAGATAAAAAGGACTTGTCTAATTATTCCTGGGAGGTTAAAGTGTTAGTGATTCTGCGTCAAGCTGTGCATTCACGAAGAAGTAATGATCAATGAGGCATTGCGTGCTAGTAAATCTGTTCACACGCGGATCAATTGATTTTATCCCTCAATTCTGTCCTAGGTTCAACAGTCAATTCAGCGACCAATTAACATACTATTTCTTTTATGCCAACGAGCGTGTGATTTCTAACTAACTAAAGAAAATACAGGAGATTGACTCGCATCGTCATTGTGTCCAATTGAACATCGAACCAACGACGTCGGTCGACGGACAAATAAAACCAACAAATAGTAGGAATTTAAAGTGTTCTAGAATATGCACGGCTGGAATTGTTGCAAACTCTTTCATACACTACTTAAGCATCAAAGTGGGACCACCGTCTGTAACACAACTGACTACATTTCTTCGGTACTGTAACAGACTAAATTAGATAAGAAATGTTTCACCGCACTTTGGCCTTCGTATCAAATAAAATCCTATTTTAGGCCATTCGATCGAAATTGATATATTGCTTTGATGAAATCCATTAGCTCCCCACAATGCGAATCGCGGTAGATGGATGTTCTGCTTTGCGTCAACTAATTTGTACCCCCTAACACCCAAACAGCAAACCTAATGCATGTCCGGTTCATATAATTAAGACATTCACACGCGTTTCCCCTTTTATTTTCTGTCATGCTTTCCCCCCATAGTTCCTCCACCAGGCGACAGATATGCTTTTATAAAAATTTATATAAAGTTGGGAGTTCCGTCTCCGTATTTGGAGACATTGTTTGCGTCCACGAAACTTTTTTAGCCTCCGAACATCTAGTCTGTGCCTAAGTACTGTAGGTGGGCTAACTCATAAAATTTCAACAGAAATTCCGAAATGCGTTTCCGTTTCGAAAAGATTAATTAAGTAATGTTGTAAAAATAATCAGTATGCAGCATAATTCTGTAAAATTTCAATTACCTCAGAATGTCGGCTTCGAGATGTGCTTCCTTCCGGCTGCATGCAAAAACTACACTCTGTAAGAACCGACTACGTACGTAGCATGAATTTTTCTCTTTGATTTTCAATGTACCTAAAAGTCCACTTATATTTCTTGGAAAACATGCATACAAATATTCATTTTGTCGCTCATTCGGTAGATAATTACGTCTTCTTCGAAAGAAGAATATATTTCTATTTCTACAATCTTTTCCAATTCCCGAGTAATTTTAAACTCGCTCTACCGTCATCCTTGGATTCAGGGTTTCCAAACTACGGGCCATATATTTTCCGCGTACAGAAAACCACACATTTTTATACGGTAATAGAGGAGGACCATATAGGGTTCACAAAATGTAGCAGTGGATTCGAGCCATACTGTCAGCTCTACAAGCCACTACGGTAAATGTAAAGACGTGAGAATTTATGAACGGTCATTCCGTGGTATTTAAAAGTCCCACAATTAGAAACTTTTTAAAACAAATTATGTCCATCCTTTGACTATAAATTTAGAAGCAAACGAGTGGAAGAGTGTATATGTTTATGCATGTTTTCCACGAAATTTAAGTGGACTTCTAGGGACATCGAAAATCAATGAGAAAAATCCATGCTACGTACGCAGTCGTTTCTTACAGAGTGTAGTTTTTGCATGCAGTTGTAAGGAAGCACATCTCAAAGTCGGCATCCTGAGGTAACTGAATTATTATAGAATTATTTTGCAGACTGATTATTTTGACAATCCTACTCAATTTATCTTTTCGAAACGAAAACGCATAACACAATTTTGGTTGACGTTTCATGAGTTAGCCCACCTACTGTACGTGTGAGAGAGAATAGAAAGGCCGACACTGAGGTGCCCCTCTTCATGACAAATCAGCACATTCCCCTCTAGAATAAAGCTGATGATCTAATGCTCGCGGCTTGAGATGTTACCAGCCGACCGAGTAACTGGCTCTTTCTTTGGGACATGGATCAACCCGCAATAACTCCTTGCTCTGACCTTCGTGGCACCCTCATCTAGGCAAATTAGCACTGCACCCGTTAGACAGTGGTGGTCCCGTGTCTTGCAGTGGACAAGCAGTCTGCTAAGGACAGCTTCAATACGATTGAGCCCTATGGTGCACCCAAGCACCATCAGTTCTGCCACCGACCGGACGCATAATTGCTAAGATTGTTTGCGCCACAATAATCTCAGTGAGGGCGGACAGTTTGGTCGGACAAGGGAGTCCTTGTCAGCGGGTTCTGCCGTTCGACTGGTAAAAGTCAGTGCAATGCTGAAGGACAGTGAGCTTGCGGATGGTTAGACTGAGGTTAACTGTCGTTGTTATAGCATAGGCGGTGAGAGTCACAAATTGTGCACCCAGGCCTCCGCAGTGAACCTTGTGATATCAAGTCTCCAGGGAGATTTTGGTATCTATTTTGTGTTCGTCATGGCGGTTCTCGTCCAACTGGAAGCGGTAATAGCTGTCAATTACGTGCACCAAGACGAGAGGCGAGGAGCCATGTCGACGCAGTGTCAGTTACTATTCGTTAATTCGAGTCTCAAAGCATCGAACTGCTTGACAGACGTACTCGCAAGAGCAATGGGCACCTGAAATGCAGCAACTGCGTTAGTCTGTTGCCCTTTGAAGATGGGATCTGTTGCTCAAGAGTGCACTATGCGCAAAGGGGACACAGACATGTGAGCGATACATACACCAAGCCACTATAGTCGCCTAGTGATCGCTTCAGAGGTCCCCTGTATACAAGGCAAGGAGCACAATCTTCCCTGCACTCGTTAAGACTGGAGCCTTTTAGCTGTCCCTGCCGTCCGAGTCAGGTTTCCGTTACACCGGAATTGTCGATGTGATTTGGTCGACGCTTTCTTAAGCAGGCGGCCTCTGCTGTATTAACGGTAGGTCTGGTGAAACGGAGTTCGGACGCGACCTCTTCTGTGTGCTGCCAGATGACTGTTTTCGTAATCGGAGATGATATCAGCACCAGAGTCTTTAGATGGACACTTTTTACGAGGTTGTTACAACGAAGTCCTTGTATGCTTGCATGCAAGAAGGGGGGGGGGAGGGCACTCTCCAGCTGTGTCTTCACTGGTGAATTTTACAGCTGAGAAGACACTGTTCAGCCTTTGATGTAATTGCTCACTATCCGTTACGCCTTAGGATAACGGAGACCTTACCAAGGTTCAAGTGGAACTTCGGGTGGAACCCTGTTCTAATCGTTATGAGACTGGTTCAGCGGGCTGTCTCGATATTGGCGAGTTCACTGGGTTCCTCTTAACTCGTCGAATTGACGATACTTCTGGAGGCAGCTATTGAATATTTGCAAGGGATGTTGCATTTGAATGTTAGTAGGATCTTCCTGTTAGCATTAACCTATGCCTCCAATACCAAATTATCCAGTATTAACCAAAAACAGCGAAATTATGTCAAAAAGACATAATTTGAATTAGGCTGCATTTTGATGCCAGCAGGAATTTCCTTGAAGCAGTGAGTTGCGCTTTCAGTGGTAAAAAAATTGAAAGGATGCGTGACAGTTGTTGATATCGTGGTACGGTCGCGTGCCATCGTTTGGTAGGATCTAAAATTAGGTGCTCCCATGGGACGCGCAACAATCATCATTAGCTCACCTGCTTTATGCACCCCCGGGTGACCATTTGCTTGTACAGTAGCCTATCTCTGTGGGCCTTGTGGTCCTAAGGACATATGAACTTCTGTCAGACAGATTCACTGAATGCGTCTGCGTTTTACTCCCTGATTTCCTAATTGCTCGAGATCTCATAAACGTCGAAAAGCCATTATGACATGGCCGACTTCGACCTGGTAATTGGTTGCCTGTTCGTGATCTTTGCCACCCATACGGAGCTTGTTTACTTCGTGAAGGCAATAGCTCGGCATGCGCCCATTCCTGATTGAATAAATACCCGATCTGCAGCGACAGAGAATGACAGGTGGCGAGGCACTGATGAACTTCGGCTCGATGAAGTGCTTATGACCCATCTTGTAGACCTCAGCAGTGGATCAACTGCGCCAGGTGCGTCTGTGCGCATGTTTGTGTTTCCGGTCCCAGCTGCTGGCCGGGGTTATGATGGGCTGAATGAAGGCAGAATAAACCCGAAACAGTGCTGTATCAATCTGCCCACATTCTCTGTCGTCCGTCCTCGCTGCTATTATGACTTGGCCGACTTCGGCCTGGTAATTGGTTGCCTGTTCGTGACCTTTGCCACCCACAACGGAGCTTGTTTGCTTCGTGAAGCCAATAGATCGTTGTGCGCCCATTCCTGATCCAATGACAAGTATTAAAAGGCTGCCCCCTGCCTGCTAGTGAGTCCCAGCTGCTAACTGGTGCGCCTAGTTTTTCGAATTTTTACCACCGCATTGAGCCACTTATTGTTTGGAGATCTGGACATTCGTTCCGCTCGTTCACAAAGCCAGCAGGTTTCGCCCCATAACGGCCATGGGCGTCATACTATCGGGGTCAGCTAACCGACCCTCATAGGTAAACCGACCCGCCTCTCGCGTACAGACATCTTTTCCGCGTCTGGTGACACCTATGGTCTCATTGGCGCCCCTGGGGAAGAGGATGTGGGAGGTCCAACTTTTGTTTTTGACCTTGAACGCAGACAGTCTAGTCCAGCGTCAGGTAAATGCATACTTTTTCATTTTAGGCCGAAAATATCTACAACGACGAGGAGCTGGATATCGGCGGGTTGGAGATGGAGCGGCACGCCTAAGACAAATCGGATGTGTACACACACACAAACACACCCACCCAAACACACACACACATGTCCACCCTCTGTACATTTGTACCAACAGTTGACTTAGTCGTATTTTTTTAAGTGTTCTGATGTTTCTATCCCCCCCCCCCTTTACTTGTTGCCAGACTTGTAAGCATTTTCGTTAACCTTTTTTGTCCACAAGCGACTGGGTCCTCAAATGTCGCTGTTTTTTGCCTTTTTAGAAGTAAACGTATACACATTTCCTGTATCCACTTGTTTACAAGGTCACAAAGACCTTCTAGATGTTTCTCGCATTTGAAAAGATAGTAAACGTGGGTTTTTAACTCCGACATGCATGGAACTTAGCCTTAAGACCGTTCTCCTATATCTTAGATTTATGGCTTTCTGTTTAAATACTTCCCAACCACCTGTGCAAATGCCTTATTCAGTGAGGCAGGGTTTTCTCTAATTTGCCAATGCATACATTAGCAGGAACGGAATGTTCTAGATCATAAAGATTTCCTATAATTCCTATCCATATGGATAACCTACAACCTGATGTAATCTATAGTTTAAAAGGACAACTATTTCGATGCAGCCGGTGTAACTACAGTAGGTGGACTAACTCTTGAAATGTCAATCGAAATTTCGAAATCCGTCCTCTTTTCGGAAAGATTAATTAGGTAGGGTTGTAAAAGTGTCCATAATGCAGCATAATTCTATAACGATCCAGTTATCGCAGGGTGCCGAATTTCGAATGAAATTATTCCCGACTGCATTGAAGAACTATACTGTGCAAAAGTGGCTACTTAAATAGCATGCAATTTTCTCATTGATTTTAGATGCCCTTGAAAATTCAAGTCTATTTCATGGAAAACATGCATAAAATATTTATTATTTTATTTATTCGGTAGAAAATCACGCCTTTTTCCAATTTTATACTCGAAAGAAGAGTATAATTCGGTTCTAAAAATAAATTTCATAATTCACGAATAATTTTGAACCCGACCTGCTGTTATACATGCATTCAGGGTTTCAAAACTACAAGCCGTATATTTTTTATGTGCGAAAAACCATACATTTATCTACGGTATTAAGAGGAGACCACATGGGGTTCATAAAATTAAGCTGTAGATTTGAGCAATGTTGTTACCTTTACAAGCCGCATTGGTAAATGCAGGCACAGGACGTTTTCTGAACGGCCACTTCACGGTATTAAAAAATCTCACATATAGAAACTTATCTGAAACCGAATTATACTCCTCCGAGTATAAACTTGAAAAAAGGCGTAATTTTCTACCGAATAAATAAATGAATGAATCTTTTTGTGCATTTTTTCATGAAATATAATTGGACTTTTAGGGACATCGAAAATCAATGAGAAAAATGCGTGCTACTTAAGTAGCCACTTTTCGCAGTGTAGTTCTTGCATGCAGTCGGAAATAAGCTCATTCGAAGGGAGGCACTCTGAGGTGACTGGATCATTATAGAATTATGCAGGACGGTGACTAGTTTTACAACCGTACTTATTAAATCTTTTCGAAATGCGAACGCATTTCGAATTTTCAGTTGACATTTCATGAGTTAGCCCACCTACTGTACATGCTGGGAAACCTCCGCCCTTGGGCGCGTTGACCAGTCGACCAGTCAAATTCGCGTCGAGGTCTCAATGCGTATTAGGCGTTTTGATTTGAATATCATCTGCGGCTAAGAGAATTACCCAGTGGGTCAGAAATTGGAAACAGCAGGCGGACGAGGTCCGATGTGAATTTGAGAGATTGGCGATTCAAGTGCCCCCGATGACTTGACTTCCTGTTGTGTGAATCTCGCACTTCCGTAGGGCGCATCAAAAAGCGGTTTCTACCCCCTCAAGATTGCGGCCTATGCCGACTTGTCACTCCACTCAACATTGGGATCTGGCCAGAGTGGTCGTTAACTTTTTTCCCCTTTACCTGAGATCGAAGACCAAGTCACGCGGATATGCCCGAAGGGCAAGCAGCATGTTATCGATTTTACCGCTTATTTGGTGGCGTGTCAAGAGAGGGAGAGAGCGAATAAACAAAGACTAGAAGTCTCCGCAGCAGGTGACATTTCGTGGGACAGTACAACAATTTACGGGGATTTCCCCATACAGCAGGAGCCGTCCAAACACTTGAACAGCAGAGGAGTGACCCTTATCAAGAATAAGTATTTTTCTAAGTGCTGCAAAGGAGCTTGCGCGGAAGTTATTCTGCATTGCGAGAGCAACCACCCTATTGCTCACAAACGGAGTCCTGTCAGCGCCCTACCTAAATAAGCAAAGACTCTGCTCTGAGGGCGAAGAATACAAAATAGAGCTCAATTACTTGTTCAACCTATTTTCCCAAAATGGCTACCCTTGAGATTTTGTACGCAGATGCATGAGATAGCATGAATAAAAAAAGATAAGGAACCGGATTATTCCGATCAGGTGCCAAAACCAAAAAACTGGTTAACACTTTCTTACATTAAATATGTGTCTGAACTCGTTGAAAGATACCAGAGGAAATACCGAATACTAGTGACGCACAACCCGATGACCACGCTACGCAACCAGCTTATACACCCTTATGATAGGGCTGGCTATGTGGTTAAAAAAGAAGTCGTCTATAAGATTTCATGTGGCACCTGTAATGCGGTATTTTGTGGCCAGACCGAGAAACCTACCTCGGCAAGCCTACACAAACACAAATTGGCAGTAAAGAGACGGGATTACTTAACTCAAGTCGCCATGCATATTCTGGAAACGGGGCACAAATTTGCTTGTGATTAAACGTGCATTGTCGGTTCCTGCCCATATAAGAAAGGCTGAGAATTTCTAGAGGCCATTCACTCGGATGATTCATGCATCAATCGGTGCATCGATCTGGACGCCGTGTACACAAATCTCGAAGAAAAATGGAAAAGGTGATAGTCAATTAAAGCGTGACGTCAGCCCACAGCATTGATCCATTCTCGGCACTGACAAAGCAGCAACGAATTTTCGGCCACTTTTAAATTTTAACTGTTTTCGCACACTTGCTACACGTCTGACGACGACCTGGTGAACCAGCGTCAAAAAACTTACGAAATAAAGTTTGTTCAACTTCCCAAAGGACTCATTTTTCTTCGAATCATTTATATATATAGTGGGTAGGTGGTCGCCTCTTCGTGGCCCCTATCACCCATACAAAGATTTTTTGCTTCGGGAAGCCAATAGATCGGTGTGCGCCCATTCCTGAGTCCCTCCTCGTTGCTATTATGACTTGGCCGACTTCGGCCTGGTAATTGGTTGCCTGTTCGTGACCTTTGCCACACATACGGAGCTTGTTTGCTTTGTGATGCCAATAGATCGGTGTGCGCCCATTCCTGATTGATAAATACCCGATCTGCAGCGACAGAGAATGGCAGATGGCGAGGCACTGATGAACTGCGGTTTGATGAAGTGCTTATAACCTATCTGGTAGACCCCAGTGGTGGACCAGCCGCGCCAGGCGTGCCTGTGCGCATGTTTGTGTTTCCGGTCCCAGCTGGTGGTCAGGGTGATGGTTGGCTGCATGAAGACAAACAAGCCCGAAACAGTTCTGTATCAATTCACCCCACAGACTCTGTCGTCTCCCCTCTGATATATATGTATATATTGTCATGGACATCCACGTATATGTCCATATAGTTTTTCGAGTTGGCTGTTTTTAAAAAAGGGGATTTGCCTTCCCATATGTTCACCTTTGATAATGAGTTTTCCACAAAATGAGTAGAATCGAATCCTCTGTGAGGCGTCTCTGCAAAATATGAGCAAATTTGCAGAATCATCGAAAATTAATGAAGACATGCACTCCACTTACCTATTTTGAAATTTGATCACCTTCAGCAGGTGGAAAGCTGCTCGGTCTAAAGTCAGCACGGAGCCGTGTGCGAATGGGCTTCAGAATGTCACTAAAATGCGATGAAGTCGATAAGCGCGTCAAGAACGGACAATTCGTGTTAGACAACCCAGCGCCACTTTTATAATGTCTGGAAAACTGGACATCCTTTCTGTGTAGGGTACGAAAAACAGTAAATTTTAGACTACATGCATGCTGAAGCACACATGGCAAACTTTTAACTGACCACTTTTCGCGCACAGAATAGTGCGTTATACTGAAAAGGGTCTTCATAGAAGATGTCCTTTTTACAGAGATTGGATGTCATTCCATTCTGATGATAGCAAGCACTTTCGTCCAAGTATCCCAATGAATTTACCTATGAATGCAAATCAGTTCGAGTTCAATTTTTGCGTTCTGGTTTAATAGGAAAAATCTTCGCGGGAACGTTTGCCTGTCACACTGCAAAAGTCAGTTTGAGATGCGGCTAAAATATACGGTCAGCTTTAGTGATACGGTTGTCACTCGAAACGAATCCCTCAGATTGGACCAAGTAGCCAATCACGTGACTCCTGAGAACTAGAGGCGCGGCATTTCAGACCTATACCTTACACTCTTCTGGCTGACAGAGTGTGGGTAGGACCAACTGCTTGCAGGTTGCCGACGTTTAAGTCCGTCTCGCACAACGAAAGATCAGAAGAACCCGCAAACTGTGCATGTGTACATTTTGATGTAGGTTAATGAGTGTACGGCTAAAATAATCGACAGGGAGACGGAAATGAACATTTCTGACCAACTTTCAGAGAAGACCCGTCGTTTGTCTCGAAATGAATCGTTTTGAAGACAGTTGAAATTCATTCTTCTCTGGGTGGAAAATCACTGGCCGGAGGCGACCAAGAATCCAGAACTACAGACACCCATGCCCCTGCTCCACGGTGCATGACTCACTTGATGATAGAAACCCACTTTAGATGGCATTTAATTGGGTTCCGGAATCCAGGGAGGGGAAGGGACATTCCACCATGAGGTAGCAGACTACTGTAATCCGTGGGTTATAGCTTTCATTAAGGCACCATGAGGTACCAGACTACTGTAACCCGTGGGTTGTAGCCTTCATCAAGGCCTTACTCCGCTAAACGACGTCTGTCAGCC